ACACCTGAGGAATCTTTCTTTGAGGAGAAGTGTGAGTATCAGTCTGCACCTGAAAGGAAGGTTTGCTTCTGACTGCATTTCTCAATGACTTTCCCATCTTATTCCCAAGTCCCTGCTGTGTGATTTTGGGAGCCAGCAGCCCACTAGATGGAGCAGGGGGTACAGCTGGTTCCAGAGCCTGCACTGAGCCAGGCTGTAGGACTCGAGGCTAAAATAAAATGGAGTAGGAAATTAGAGCGGTGGTTGGCCTGCTTTAAACTTGGCTATTAATATACCTGAACAAAAGTGATGAGAGGAGGTTGAAATCCACTGGCATATAATTAACTGCTCAGGTACGTTTTGAGAGCATTGTGCTAGTGGTTTAGGTGCTGGAGTTTGGTTGTTATAATGATCCTGTGGCTGTAAATGTTACAGCAATTAAGAAAATGGCTTTAAATGCCTCTTAGACTCTTACACTGCTGAGTTGTCGCTGGTTATGTGGCTTTAAAATCAAATCCAGTCTGCTATGGCTTCTCTTTTCACACTGACTTCATGTGGATTTTCTCAGAAAAGGACTGGCTTCAGTAGCCAAATGTACAGAGTATCCCACTGTTTGCAAAACAGTCAACCTAAAGTTTTCTCAGTGAAACACTTCTTTGTACAGAGACTGGGCAAGAAGTTGAATTTTTGACTTGATTTTTTTGTAGAAGTTGACGTGTATGTATCCTTAATCTCCTGGCATATGGTTGTGTTTATATTAAATGGTTGCATCAAAATGTTTAAGGAGATTTCCTTCAAGTTTTATGTCAGGTGTTTGGTGACAAGTCACAGGGATTTTGTGCACCTGAGACATCGCTCAGACTTGAACAGTCCAGAAGTGTCAGGGTAAGACCATTGCAGCTGCATGTGTTGATATTTATTATCAACACAGCATTCTTGACAGCTAAATTATCTTCATAATTGAAAGTGCCCTACTTATTAAACTGAGAGCTAGACCTGTAGTTCACAATAAGAGCCACTTGAGGATGTCGGTCTTGCCAAGGGGTTGAATTTATCTCTTGTTTTACAAATCAGTTTTCTGTGCTGCTTTGATTTCCAGGTCTTAACCACTTCCAGGTTAAACACTTGTCTGACAACTTCAGTCCATGGGTCATGTGTGCGCTCTTTAGCAACTGCTTTGTAGGTCACAAGGTCCTGCTGGATCTGTATCTTAACTTTGGTGTGGGAACCTGCATTTGAGAGTGGAGCTGGATGAAAGCTGTCCAAGGAGCCTTCAGATAGTCCTGGTGGTAGGAAAGGCTCATTAATGAGCTGGATCTCTGTCCTGGCTTGTGTAGGAGGAACCTGTAATTCCTCCTGAAGGCATCACACTGGTTGGATTTGCCATTCTAGCAGGTCTGTTTCTCTTTCTCCCCCTCAGGCTTGTCAGGAGTTTGAGGCAGAGGACAACATACAGATGAAGGGTGTTCCAAACTTGGTAAAAGCCATCAGACTTGGGAGGTAAGCTCTGACTTTTGAACAGGCAGGGTGGGCAGTTTTGCTGCCTGATTGCTCATAATGCTGTCAGGAGACAAACTCCAGAGGCTTCTGTCTAGTTTACCAGAATATTTAATCTCCCATTTTTAGACTTGTTTGGTTTGATTTGAGAGAACTTTGGTCAGCATTGGTATTTCAGGTCATTGAAGGTCTTAGGACATTGATGGTGCTGGAGAAGGTTGCAAGTAGGCCTTGGGCTTGAGTCTGTGGTGGTGTTCCAGTGGGATGCTTTCTCATCAGCCTAAAAGCACTAGAATATTTGCTTTTTCTTGCTCAAACTTATGATGCTTGAAGACTTTGGAATTTTTTTTCATATAAGCTTGTAATTATGAGTAGTGCAACTTTTTTGATGTGTTACATTTTGCACATCATATCTTAAACAATCTTGCAATGTAATATCCTCCATGATGTAAGAAGGATATGATGTCTTTATAAAGACATACTGCAACAGAGACAATGCTCTTGCTTTTAGGGTGTATATACTCAAATTAATTTTATCATCCTCCCATTAAGAATTTGACATCTTAGTGGAAAAAGTCTGAGACTGAAATATCAGAGGAACTTTTTGTATTGTTATTTAAGTCAGACTGATGGGAACCATGTCTGGCTGCCACTTGGCAGAGCCAGCTCCCAGCTCCATTCCTTGGGGTGTTATCAGGGCCAGACTTCCACTCTTTTGTGTGCTGGTGGATTAAAATGGAACTGGTGACAATTGGGTTGGAAATGGACTTCTGGGTGCCAAGGAAAGGCATTTTTTTTCCCTCTCCTTTTTGGTTTCCTGTTACTGCTGAAGGGGATATATCTTTAATAATGACTTAAGTTTCTCCAAGGTTTTGGGGCAAGAACTTAGTGGTCTTCCTTAAAGTTCTGTTCTACATCAGGTTCAGGCATCTTCTGTGTTCAAGTCAGTGGTGGTCTCTGATCCTCTGGGAGTATCTGATCTCTTGCACAATATTTGATTGGAAAAAGGAAGCATATTCAGTTGGTTGTTTTATCAAGATCTTATCTTGATGGGAGGCATGTTTTGGGTAGAATAGATTTCCAGTGTTGTCTCATCTTGCTGGTATTGGAAAAACCAGTTCTGAGGATTGTTAATGTGGTGTCTGTTGAGGATGTTTAACTTGGTGTACGTCCTCTTAGGACTGAAACTTCCAACTCTAGGACTGTAACGTGTTGCACAGCTGGAAGTGAATTCCAGAATGAAGTGTCCATTATATCATCTTTAACCTTTGTACCTGAGGGGAATTGTCATCAAACTATTGGCTCTATCCCCCACTATGCAGTGCCCTATCTATGTATATATTTGTCTTCTATGACTGGATCCAAGGAGCTGTTTAAAATTGGGCCACATAAATGTTTTAAAATGTTTTAAAATTTTATTCTTCATAGATGGAGAAAGTGGTGTGCTCCTTTTTGGAACCTCAACCCCTGTGCAAGGGTGTGTTGTATCCACAATACGGGAAATGCTTTTGTGGATTTCCTGAAGGTTGGTTATGGACAACTGTGAAGAAGGGTGTTTGTAACACCTGACATGGTGTTAATCTTCATTAAATGCTCTGTCAAGTGTTTTTTCCAGAATCCACTGGAAGAATTAATCTCCGGGGTTGTCTGCACTGCCTAGACATGAGTGTACCAAGCAGTGTGGGGTACTTGGTCTGTGTGCGAGTTCCTGATGAGGCTCTACTGACCTGTGGGAAAGCCCCTGGGACTGTGATGCACAGCCTGGGCATGGGGGGCTCATGTGGGAGCACAGTGTCACTGGAGGGGGTGTGGGCAGTGGAGCTGCCAAGTGGTTACTGCCAGGGTGTCTCTGCTGCTTAAAATCTAATTACTCATGACTAGGATGCTGGCCAGTCTAACACAGTGGGTAAAATATGGTTTGTTACGTCATTAACTATAAATTCTGACTCTTGTTTCTGTAGCCTCTTACCACATAACTTCCCTCTAAATGTATGAGGAGACTTAAAACAACTTGTGCCTCAAAATAATAAACCAAAATCTTCCATTCAATAAATATTGTGTTCTGCATTGCATCTCAAGAATACATATTTATGTATGTCTTGTGCTGTAAAATATATTTTTATATGTGTTGTGTTATAAATACCTGTACATCACTTGCTGCTGTTTGATCCAAAGAGCTTTTGTCCTGTTCGATGATGGCAGAAGTGGAAGTGTTCGATCTTGCATGAGTATAAATAACATTTGATGTAATACTTTTGGTCAGATATTTATAGGTGGAGTGCAAAAGGTTGTGTCAAGGAACTTAATGTTCTTATAAGAGCAAGATTAGATTAGGAGCTAAGAATGTTTACACAGATTTGAGTGAGCAGACAGTTATGTATTTTCAGTTCCAGCGTTTGACTCTGGCAAAGACCTTTCTTGATTGGAGCTTAATTAGGATAAAATACTGTGCCAGAATACAGATATGTGGAGCAAAAAGCAATGGTATATGGAGAATTAATTTTCAGAAGACCCAGTTGGCAACATGAAAATATGCAAATGGCAGAGAAGATCTTGGCATTTGTCTTCAGATAATGTGTGTCTGGCAATGAGTCTCTGGAGACATGTAACTATAAATTTGAATTTTCCCAGGGGTATTTAAACGTGGCAAGTGGAATAAAAGAAGCTCAGTTACACAACTTGATGCACATGCTTATGCCACATAAATATCATGCTCAAAAATACCTAAATAAAAAGGTGGAATTCACATCTAAGCAGCAAAAAATGTTTTGTGTTTGAATGAGAGGATAAGTTGTGTGAAGAAAGTTCCAAATTCTGTTAGCTTTTCAGCAGATTAATTGCACTGGGATATCACAGTTTATTTCAGCTCATTTCTTCCTAATATGAGCTTATTTTTTAAAGTTCTCCTAGATCTGCTTCATGTATTTTTGATTTCTTGGAATATCTGCAGAAATATTCAAATGTTTCCTTTCCCTACATCTATTGCCTTAATACTCAGAGAAATATGAGCAAATGTCTGTACCACATAGGACTTAAAACTGTTTTAACAAATACCTAGTTTGTTTGTCCTGACTAAACATTTCTGGAGATGGTGTGGGTACATTCTAGGAAACTAAAGTAGAGCCTTAACTGGAGTTCACGGCTTCATCCAGGGTCAGGTCTGATGTAGCTCTGCCTCTTCCCACAGTTTCTACATGCACATCTGAAACAATCTGGATTGGTGTGGGCAGTAAGATGGTCTTGAACATAAAAATCCCCTCTCACACTGGACCAGCAATCAGCAGGGGAAAATATTATTTGTGCTCTTTAGGGGAATGCAAATTGCAGGATCATGCTGCTGTGGATGAGCTTAGGAAGCTCAAGTGATGGGAGCTCAAAACCACGGGCACCGACATCTTTTTTATTGTGCTCTTGGCTATTCACCACTACGAATACTCTGGTCTGGTTGCCTGGTCCCAGGCAAGTCAACCTCATTGCCTAGAACTCTGAATTTAATTTTATTCTTGTGGTTTCTCTTCTTCCAGTTAGCAGACTTGAGGAGCGGGAGGCAGAACTCAAGAAGGAATACAATGCACTTCATTCAAGGCATACAGAGGTAGGTCATTGCAGCAAGATAACTTCAGAGTACCTGTGAAAATGTGGAAAACTTTGTATTGTGAGCAATTGGGAGAACTATTGGATGTTTTGGTTTGTACACTGGTATTTGCATGTTTGTACTGATGTTATTTGTAACCAGGCTTCGTTTGACAAAGTAGTTTTTCTCATTCACGTGTCTGTTCTTCCATGTTGACTTGGTTATGTGTTTGTCAGTTTTTATGCTTTGTCAGATACTAAGTTTTAAAAATCAGGAATTTGCTTCTCCATGTTTCAAAGGCAGTTCTTCAAGGCACACTAATAAACTTCAAAGAAATAGAAATGAAATTGCATTCTCTTACTCTTTCCAGCAATTTTCTGTGTTGGTTTTATTTGTACCATTGAAGGAACAAATACCTTCAAAACCTGGCCTTCTGAGATTAGTGATCAAAAGAATTCCCTGCCATACCTTACTGATAGCAATTGAAAACAGGATTGATGAAGAGGGAATGAGTTTGAATTTGGCAATTTAAATAAATAAGAGCCACGCTATTAAAGTTGGTTCCAAAGCATAAAAAAGGGACTTGCAGTGCTTTGATTTTCAGTAGCAGGTTGTCTTGCAGCCTGGCTTGTAGACGTATTTTAGTGGAGAAGTCACTGGGTTCTCTGAATTATTCTGGTTAATCTAGAGTCCCAATACTGAGCACAGTTCTTGTCCTTGCTCTGATTGATTTTTTGCCTTTGAAAGGGCAGGCAGCTGTTTTTAGATCACCCCCAAAGAGGGGAATGCCATTCTGACTGTTCCCAGCTCAAAAGACCCATGTGGGGAAAGGGGAAGCAGATACAGCTGTCAGATTTGGTTACCTTGAATACTTCCTCAGCAATCCTAAGTTGAGTGTGTTGTACTGACAGCAGCTGCAAGTGTCCTGGAACCACAACCAGCATGTAGTGCTCAAGTATTACGTGACAAGACTTCTACAGCTCTTAAATAAAAATATTTGTATATTTACTGAAATCCTGATGTATTTAAGATAACATTTATTACTGAATAGTTGCTTTAGAATGATGCATCTGCTGAAAACTGGAAATTTAAGTAAAATGAGAAGTAACAAATTGTAGTGTTACCCACTTAAGTTTTACATTCTTTTGAGCTGGAAGTACTTCAGAGTACTGGGTGCTTGCAGACTTTTGGTTATTGTGGTCAGGACCTGTGGGTATTGTCACAAGAGAACAGGTGGCACAGGTTTTTATTCAATCCTGTTTTGCAGAGTTCAAGATAACTAAATGTATTGGGCACCATTAATTCAACGAAATGCTAATGACGTGTTCTGAATGTCTTTTTACATAGGTTTTGCTCCAAAATGGACAACAGCCTCTGCTGGTTTGATTCAAATTTATTAAATGCTTTCACATCTTAAATTCACTCTTTGGTGTAGGGAGAGGTTTTTCCTTGGGCTTTCTTATTACTGAGGTGACTGTATCCTTTCTCCATAAATAAATTATAATGTAGCGTGGTATATCCATACCTCTGTGCTCCTAAAATCAGGTGTCATGTTTTCTGTGCTCCTCCCTTTTAATATGTTTGCCTCCTTTCTTTATTTTCCCACTCTAAGCATTTTTATTTCTTCCATTTTTAATGTTTCACCTCTTTCCTTGTGTTTAGTCAATTCCGACAACCCGAAATACTGAAAGAAAACAGGGTGATGAAGGAAAATTCATATTACATTGTTTTTAGAAGCTCACACCTTTAAATTTGGTTATTTTTACCTTTTTTTTTTCATATCTATAGACTTTGATGTCTGGCTGATAATAGTGCCCATCTCCCTCTATTCCCTTTGTTATTTCCAGCTTTCCTTTCTCCCAACAAACTGTAGTGTTTTAGGTCTGTGTAGTAACTTTTTTTCTTTTAATGCAAGATATTTTTTGGCAAATATCCAACCCACTTTCAGCATTTAGTTATCAGGTTTATTGACTCAAGTATTTCTATCAGAATACTTGTTTCTGAAACCTTTCTTTCTTCCATCCTTTTTTGGGAAGGGATACTTCCTTCATTCTGAATCAGCTTTACTGTTGTCTTTGCTAGTGATCCATCTTTGGTACTTGCTGAAATGGCAATTGTTTTTCTTTCAATGGACCAAGTAATGAACAGAGCATTAGAAAGATTTTTTATTATTTAGCTCTAAGATGTTGGCAGTGCTTACTTTGACAGATGTCATGTTAAAGATGTGACTTGACTGCATTTCATGCAGTCTTAATTTCTAGCAATTTTTCTCTGTTCTGCCTTCAGTATTTGTTTCCCTCCATCCTCCATTATTCCTTATTTCACAGCTGAATATTTCAGACTTCTATGTCTTTCTCTTCCAGCTCTTGACTTCACTGAGGCTCTAACCATATTCTTTCAGCCCTAATCCTTCCTTGTCTGTGGGGGCCTTTGCTGGAGTTCACTGCCCAGCAAACGTGCTGGCTCGGCAGCTCAGGGGGATGTTGCCCGAACAGTTTCAGTTGCAATGGACCAAAACCTGCAACTGAATCTCCAGGGGAAGTTGCCCCAGTGATGTGAACCAGAGAGCTGAATCCATCCCTCTCCTGCAGTGTGTGTGCCGTGCTGAGAGCTGGGAGCTCTCCTTGGAGCTCAGCCTGCCAGAGCCAGGGCTCTGCATTGCAGCTCCAGCCCCAGCCTGCCCTAGCAACAACAAGGTGTCTGCAGCTGCAGAGACAGCAGGGCTGCCCTGGCTGGGCAGAGCTCTGGGGAGAGGCTTTAGCCTTCCTCACCCTTCTGTTCAATTAACCTCTTGCTGCTCTCTGTGGAGTGGGAGGTGAGCTGGCTGGTGTGAGTGGAGTATATCCCCCTAAGCTTCCTTCCCCACTAAATCTGTACTTGAGCTAACTGGCTTGATTTTAAATGGATTAGGGTATGAGAACCTGAGCAGTTGAGCTGGCAGTTTGGAAGGTGGAGTGTAGCTGGGCATTTGTAGCAGGTAGTGAAGAGAATCAACTGTTCAGTCAGAACACGATGGATGCTGCCTGAATGTGTTCCTACATCCACGCTCCAGTTCCTTGTCTTTCCTGTGTTTGCAGTGTTTTGATCTTGTGCTGATCATCCCCTGTTCCAGTGCTCAGACTAGATGAGCAATAGAGCAGTGTGCTGGAGTTCCTGAGTTGGAATCTCTGGAATCTGACTGTGCAAAGTCTTGTTTCCATCCTTCTCTGACTGTAAAGGAGCAGATGCAGGAAGTAATCCTACAGCCAGGGGCAGTGTGCTGGGAACCAGAATGGACTGGTCTAATACAGAAATCTTCACATCTTTCCTCTATAGACTTAAAAGCTGCAACTGAGTGACAAAGTTCCTTTCTATCTCAAATACTATTCTGTTTAATAGAAATCTGAGTGGTTATATTGCCTGTATAAAAGCAGGCCTGTCTCTGCAAACATTTCCAAAATAAACTTCCCCCCCCCCCCCAGTTTAAGGAAGTTATTCTTTTTGTCCTTTGGAAACTCCAGGCTGAGATAGTTCGATATCTCTTTCCCTGACACACAGAATATGGGCTTAGTTTAATGAAGCATAATTGGGCCATGGAAGTTTCTCAGTGTTCTGCACTGATACAATGTGACAGAACAGTGAGCCTGTCTCTGGCATGGGGAACGGACTTTGTCAGGTTCATTTGGATAAACATATCCCCAGCAAGTCCCTGTGTAGGGAGACAGGAAGAGGAGGCTGGTGGAGGTGTCTAGTCACAATTATAGCCAAGCTTGGGTACCAGTCACAGAGTCTGTGAGACAAGACTTTAGATATCTGTTCAAGCAAATAGCTTTTTTGAAGCTTTATACTAAGCATTAACAGCTTGATCTATAAAACCTGGATTTAACTTCTTTACATATTACTGTATCTTCCAGCTACATCATCTTCTGTATGGATAAGGATGCGTCAAGCTCTCTAACAGGAATGATGCTTTTACTTAAGTGGCAAGTTCACCACAAATCCTCAAAGGAAAAAGGGAGTTACATGGAAGTATATTTAGGACTTTGGTTCTGAATCAAGGAGATTCTGGAAATATCTGTTACCTTAATAAATCTAGATTATTTGGGACACAGAAAGATCTATATATACACAGTTGGTTGAGCATTCCCAAAGGGAGGAGCTGCTGGTGCCAAGCCTGATTGGATCCACGGGATGAACAGTGAGGGCTGTAGCTCTGAGCCTGGTCTGACAGAGAGAGAGTTACTGAAACCTGTCCGGGGGGAGCTAAAGCAGTGACACAAAAAGGAAGGAGGAGCGAAAGAGCAAGGAAGGTATAAAGGAGATGCTCTCAACCTGGTTAAGGCAAAGGTGCAGGTAACGATATCCCCAACATGGCATATCCACATCTGTTTGTGACAAAGGAAGTGTCAGACTTGTGTACATTGGGAGTGGTTGTATTTGTAAGGGTAGGAACAGAAACGAGTGACAGGATTTTAAAATTGTCTTGGACTGAATGCTGAAGTTTAAGATGTAGAAAAACCTGTAACACTTCTGCAGTTGTAGAATTGTCACGTGCCATATGAGGAAACCAATCTGAGTATTTTCTTGAAGTGGAAAAGCTTTGCTTTTTGAAGGGAATGGATTTCATGTTCCTGCTGTAATGTGTTCAAAAGCTTGTTGTAGCCTGTACATGTGCCCTAAAATGACTAACACCTAAACTGTGAAATGCTGTTAACTAACTAGGGTAATTCTCCTAATTCTTCCAAGTTCTGGTTTTACCTTTAATCCCCTCAGCTGATGGTAATTGAGCAACATGTTTAATTACAGTGCTGAAGTGTTCAGTGTTTGTGGTGTCTTCCTTGGAACAATTGGTCGTATTCACAATACTGGACTTCATGAACAGGAGGATGAGCTGTCAGTAGTACAAGGTTATGGATGATTAAATATTGACTGTAGCTTTTACAGAAGAGAAGGGGGGTGGACATTGTCATTTATTTATCATTTGTCCTTCAGCTCAACTTCAGTAAGAATTGTGCTGAGTGGAAAGCAATTAAATCCATTGAAGTCTATTTTTAAGTTGTTGGTATTATTAAAACTTTTCTTTGGATAGCTGAGTAATCTCAAAACAGCAAAACTTCTGTTTAGGTCTTGAGCACTGAGAATTCTAGTGCCTTGATTCATTACATGGTTTTTTGGATATGGCACTTCAAGGATATGCTGAGCCTCGAGGGCCATTTAGGTTGAAAAGATCTTTGGCTGTGGTGTGATTAAAGCCCCAGTGGTTTTGGAGTGAGTCTTTAAAGTTTTATTGTAGATGAAGAGCTACAGTGAGCTTATTTCCCAAGAAGCTGTGGCTGGATCTGTGGAGAAACTGCCATGCAGCACTGCACCTGCACATACATTTGGGTTTTCATTTTATTTTTGTGCTCCTATAGCTTATGTGCTTTGTGCTGAAGTGTGTGACCTACAGATTGGCTTATTTTACCATCATCATCATTTTCAGCTGCAGGACAATGCTAAACTGCACAATCCTTTACATTGACCTGCCCTCCAGCCTCTGTCTGTGGGTAATAAATGTGATGAGACATTTCAGTAAACAGAAGAACAGACTGAGAGGAGGGGAAAAAGTAGGTTAAACCATGTACTTTGCAAAACATGAAAGTTGTGTGGGTTTTACTGACCCTACTCTTTTTTCCCCCTTGTGATAGTAGTCCCCTGGAGAGGTACTAGTTACTCAGCTCCCGTTCCCTGGCTGAAAAGCACAACCGTTGTTCTGTTTAAAATTTTATTTGAAGAAACCAGTTGGCCTGCTGCAAATGGAAGTGTTTGCAGGGGGGTCAGCTTCTGCTCAGCAATATCTCTCTCCCATGATGAGGGAAGCCAGGAGCTGGATACAGAATGTCTAATGTGCATTTTGAAGTTAGGCACTGTTGGGGTTTTTTTAATGCGCTGTTGGGTTTTTTTTTTCCCCCCTGGAATTCCTAAATTAATATGCATTGTAATAAACTTATGCAAAACTATGCAAAGGAACAATTGGAACACCTAGTTCTGGCTGCTTGGTGGAAATGGAAAAAACAGTAAATGTGGATAGTCGAAGGTGGAGCTTTCAGTCCTTTTGTTTGCCTCTCTGGGTGTGAGCAAGCATTAAAAATCAGAGAATAAATGCAATGGCCTGGTGAAACTGCTGTGTTTTGTTGGAGGATAAATGTACGCTTTTGACAGCAGTTCAAGTATATTATATAATGTTTCTCTAAAAATAGCAAGTTTTTTTTTTTCTTGTCTGAATTATATTTATTAGTTCAGGTGAATGCTGGGAAAAGCAGCATCTGTATGTAACCACCACTTAACCTAAATTACTGATTTATAGAATATCCATCAGGCAGGATATCTTAAGCCAGTTCACTTGATCAGAAAAATCTGAGACTAAGGAATATATATTCACAGGTAGCTAGTGCTGGCAGACAGTGTTTGAGGAGAAGCTGGCACTGAGGTCGGTGGCATCTGAAGGTCAAACTTGGGCACGTCAACCCTCACTTGAAAGTAATACGTGGATTTAGGTTTCCAGGTGCTGCTGAGTTCAGTCTTAGTGTGTGCAGCTGCCCCCAGAATAAAAGGTTATGTAACACTGGTTGTACAAATGGCTGCTAATATCACTATTCTAAGGTGTGTGTACACCCTTGGTAGAATAGTAGAAGAAATTACAGTTTTGAAGAATAGTTTGTTTTTTTTTTTTCTAGAGGAAGCCTTTAAGATGTGACCTGAATATGTCTCAGGAATAAAGTACACTGAATTCCTCTGCAGTACACCTGTAATTTCTTTCCTTCTTTCTTGTTCCTACTCCCCTGTTCAGTTGTGAACGTGAGTGCAGAAATGCTAAAAATACCAAATGCTGTGTAGGGTTCTCCTCAGGCTTTCCCTGTGTTAATTTGAGAGACATGTATCCAAGAGCCTCTTGGAGTGATGCAGTGATACCTGTTACTTCTCCCTGTGCATGTCCTGGATCACTTACCTGCTGAGAGCAGCATCCTCTGGCTGATGGGAGGCAGGGTTCATTAAATAAGTCATGACTGCAGCACTCAGCATGTTGGCCTGTGGCTGTCTCCTGTGAGAAAGCAAACCAGCTCTTCTTGAGTGCTAAAAACCCACAGCCACTCAGCCCTTTTTATGAGATGTCAGCCTAGATAATTTAAACCCAAACTTCACTTCTAGAAAATACAGAAAGCTGAAGTTTCTTTGAATTTTAGAAGGAAAAAGGAGAAGAGACTATGACTTTGTATTTCTGCCTACAGAAATAATCTGATTATTAGGTCATGGATTCAGTCTGTTTAATATCTGAGGTGCATATTGTCTGACCTTCACAGTACTCTGCAATTAGGCCATAGTGCCTATTATGTATCACATAATAAATGTTAATATCTACTGATCATAAAGGTCTTAGACTCCAAAATGGATTTGAAATGTACTTCTGTTCAAAACTCATGTTTGAAATATCACATACACTTTGTGTACCCTAAGGATGTTTCCTGTGCATCAATGCACAAGGAAGTTCTCCAATTTTTTTAGTTTATTATGGACTTCTCTTCTGGTTTGTGGTTTTACACACTGTATAATTTTGCTTCTTCCTTTATTTCTAATGTTTCTAAATGCTTTTACTATTTAGCATTACAGGGGGAGAATATATTGTATTGGTCAGGAATTATGCAGTTGTAGTAAATGTTATTAAATATTTCTTGCTGTTTCTGTCCTTTTGAACAGATGATTCACAATTATATGGAGCACTTGGAAAGAACCAAACTTCATCAGCTAACAGGGGGTGATCAGCTAGAATCCACAACACACAGTAGAATTAGGTAAGCTATTTATTACGCTCTCACCCTGAAATGAAAGAAAAAAAATCCTTTCATTTGTGTTTGCAAGACTTTGTTCTTTAATCCTACAACAACGGTTCGGCTGAATCGGAAAGATTTGTTGTATGATTGGAATGCGGGAGGAGAACAGCGTAGAAATCGGTGGAAAGAGGCTTTTGCTGTTGTGCTGCTAAACGTGGAGATACACTTTGGACATTAATTAGCCTAAAACAATTTCAGCTCTTTTTTTCTTTTTTTTTTGGGGGGTGTTTGCGTTGGGGTAGGCAGGGAAAATGTCAGCAGCTGTCCCGGCACAGCCGGAATCCTGCCGTGGCTTTTGTGCGTGGGGCGATGGAGGTGCGTACGTGGTACCCGCTCGTCCTGAGGGCTTGCTGTGAATATATTATGCAGATTTTGGAGCTTTGTAGCCTATGAACTCTGCGTGGAAGGCGGGAGAGCCGCTCCAGGGCTGGCTGTGTCCCTGCGCTGCTGCTGCATAGATGCTCCGGCGAGGGGGAGGAGAGCGGTGATGTCATTGCTCCGGAGCTGCTGCAGAGAGTGGAGCGCCGCGGCTGATGGCATTGTTTTTGTGGCGGCGGCTGAATGACAGACTTTGCCGACAAAGATACACCCTCGGCCCCTCCGTAGCCTTCCCGGTCGCGGCGTTCCACCATGCCAGGGCAGCGCCATGAATCCTGGATGCATGCTGCTGTTTGTGTTTGGCTTCGTTGGCGGGGCGGTGGTCATTAATTCCGCGATCCTGGTGTCGCTCTCGGTTCTGCTGCTCGTGCACTTTTCTATTTCTACTGGTGTGCCAGCTCTGACGCAGAACCTCCCAAGGATACTCAGGTACTCTGACCTACTGAACCCTGGCTTCGTGCTCTTCCTCTCTCCCTTCTTTCTGCTTTCCTTCCAAACGGAAAGAACGAGGATGAATTAGAGATGTAAATTATCTATAAGGATCAGCTTTTGCTGTAAACGTGTTTATGGACAGTATATTTCTTATACACTCAAAATTCATTGCCTTTAAGCGAGTACAAGGTCGGTTCACGGATCTCTTTCTTTTCTGTAGAGAGCTCTTATGGTGGTTTATTGTAACCTGCAAAAAAAGCTGCAGTGTTAATGTCACAGATAAAGCTCAGTGTATTGTCAGGTACTTGGCTGATCCTGTGTAGCATAAATGTATGCAGTCTGAGGCTTTGCACTCTTCAATTGCACTTTTTGGAATCAAAAATAATTACATAAGATCAGTTAATTGATGCTAAAACCACAGTAATTAGCTGATCACATTATTAAAAAAGATCTGATTATTGGTTGGTGGGGGAAGAAAAAAAAAATCTTTCATTATTTGAGCATTAGAGCTCCTAAAGCCTATTCACTATTGTTCAGCCAAATGTTATCCCCTCCTCTGTTTCTCTACTTGTATGGCAAGTTGCCAGCTGTCTGTCCCCCCCCTCAAGTTATGTTCTGTTTGTCCTACTTGCCTGGAGCAGTAGCAGACAGAGATGCATTAGAATATTGTGACCAAAAGTGATCCCAACATGGTGTAGTGCTATAATTCCAAACAGAAACCAGCTGGAAAAGTTTTGAAATGCAGCCTTCTGACCTGAAAACTTGACTTACTTTGACTGTGGTTGTAAACTTAATAATAAACTTAATTTAAACAGGAAAAAATGCTGGAAAACAGTGTTCTCTGGAACAGCTATCTGATTTTTCCTCCCTAATACACACAGTGCATGTACACTTTGTATGGTGTTATGCTTTTAACTTGGGTCTGTGAGCACAGAAGGATTGTTCCAAAGGTTTAAAGCCAATCAATACATAAAAGAAATAGCACTTTATACCAATAGCTGATAATGAACTTGTATGAATATCTAAGCACAAAGAAGTAAAATAAATTTAAAGTGTAACTCTTTTTAGACTGATATAGTTAGTAAGGCTGTGTTTGTTTTAAAAGGCGGGGAAAACCCAAACCTACAACAAATGACCCCCACTCTAAGCAAACAAACAAAAAAACCCCAAACAAAACCATAAACCACAAAGCATAATATTGAACTTTGTGTTCAGTAACTTATATGAGATTTTTTTAGATTTAAGCAGTCAGGTGGTTTAAGGGACAGATTTATTTTTGTAATGTGCTTTTGCTCCCATAGAGGGTATTTAATGGATTTGAGGGGCTTGGGGAAATGCTTTTTCCCGCCTCTAGTAATTTGTTTCAGGAATTGCAGGAATTAGAATTCAGTTCCTTAGTCTTTATTCATTAAAAAAAAAAAAAAAAAGATATAAATATGGGCTGAAGGAATCTAATTGTAGAAGAATTGTTTCTATTTTTTAACACTAGTCGGATTTTAGAACTGAGCATCTGGTTGCTTATCCTGAAGGTTCCTGTGAATGCTTCAGTGCATCACTACAGAATATTAGTTTAAGCTTTTAAAATACGTGTTTCCGTTCTGCTCACTGCGATATTTTTGGATATTTCTTGGGCACTGGGGGAGCAGTTCTTTGCTTTCCCGTCAACAATCAGTGCAATAAAGTGAAATTGCTTCAGTCTAATGAGATAATTTCTTTCAATGCAGACACTCACCTTCATTTCCAGAATTAGCCTCTTCTGCAAACTCCATTTACTGTGTAGCGTTGCAGTGCACCTGAAGTGTGGTTTAGCACATCAAAATACGTTTATTATAAGATTTATTTAAAATTAATCTGTAAAAAAAAAAAAGAGAGAGAGATGCCAGGTGTGAACATTTTTGGTACCCATTTAATATTCTCTGTTTTGAAGATTGGAGGGAAGATGAGCTTTGTGGCATGTCCTGCAAGGAAGGAAACCCGGGAGGGGATGCCCAAGGCCAGCCCCTCGCAGTACAGGCTTTATCTGCCCACTAAAGGGCAGCTTTTCTTCCTCCTTTTTGTTCTTGCACTTCTTACCCAATGAAACGGTCTCAGCCCGTCTTTTGACATAATCTCAGCCTCCGTGGTGTGTCTTTTGTTCCCCTCACGAATTGGAGCTGTGGGAAATCTAAAGAAAGGCAGAACCTGTCACAATAGTGGGAATCGTTGGAATCCAGCTCTGTTCAGCCCTGGGGGGGTTTCTCAGGAGGACTTTTCAGCACAGTCGGTTTGCAGATGTTGGAACATTATCTGATGGTTTTAATTTTATAACCATGACTGAATTTGCTTTACTCACATTGCTGCCTGCTTTGCTCTGCTCAACTCCTTCCCAAATAACGACCTAACTTGGAGTAATATTTATTTGAGAATTAGTTGCAACGGCTTTTGTGACAAGGAGCATCTTTGTACACCTGTACCAGAAGGGTTCATGCCACTTAAAATTGTTGGCTGTTCGAGCATTGTGTTTTTGGCAATGTAATATTTACCAAAAGGAGTTAACTGATTAATTGTTAAATACAATCCCTTCTTGACTAATTTTTCTTCAGAGTAAACAAACAAAACCAAACAATGCTTAGTGTTTGCTTTTCAGCACTCATTGTCATATTTTTGCATGTATTTGTATGCAAACAATTTATATGCAGATAATTTATATTTATATGCAGATACTAATTCTGCACAGGATTCTGCCTGGGATTTGTTTAATTTGTGAAAAGCCTTGCCACAGAGAGTGTATGTGTTTGTGATTTGACCTTTCACAATGCCAAATTGCGAGAACTTTGCCATCTCTTGTGGACACTTTTATCTTCTGCCTCTAGTATACTTAAAGCTGTGCTAGTTGATTACAGTTCTTTTTTTCTGCATTACGTTGTTCTGCCTGAACAAACACTTTGCTTTATCTCAGTTCGAGGCCTGGCTGATATTTTTCCTTTTCAGGGCTGGCTGTAGCATCCTATGAATGGCACTGCACACAATGGTTTTGTCTCTTGCTGGCAGGAAGAATGAATCCTTTTGTTCACTCATCACACTACTGACCTGGGGGCTGGGGGGTTTTTTTTGAGGGTCAACATACAAACCTGTGGAATTTCCAAATGTTGTTTGCCGTAGATAGGGAAGTGAAAAGAGTGAAGAGTTGGGATGAAGTAACTTGCCTTGCTGGAACAAGCTTTTGAGCGGTGAAAGAGTGTTGGACTGATCTTGGGTAAAACTGCCCAGCGTTTGGCTGGGCTGGTTTTAACGTCAGTAATTCCTTGACCCAGTTCTTTTCACTTAAACAAATCCATGTAATTCTTGTGATCTGCAGAAATAAAATACCCTGTGTTTTGAGAAGAGTTGGAGTTGAAGCTGATTATTTACAACTTTGGCCAATGCTTCAGTTGATGATTTAGCTGTTTGCCATTGTAGAAGTTACGTGGTACTGTATTTGGGGGGAAAAACATGGCAAAATTGTGTTTTTTTTAAGAGTGTCTGTGAAAACTAATTTAATCTGAAATAAGGAGACATTTTTGTCTTGGACTCTGGTTTGTATTCAATCTCTGTAAAACTTTTGTTTGCTATTGATTAGCTACACTGTAAATCAATAACTGCTATTTAAAGCCATGGAATTGACTGTTTGCAATCATGTGAAATGAGGAATTATTAGATACTGTGTGTGCTCCACTGTTTATTTATTAGAGCACAGTGTATGGATGTTTGAACCTATAATTTCACCACTTCCCTGCTGATTTTTCAGAGGGAAATAAATTGTGTGGCATCTGAAATGGCTGCTGACACCCTGTCTCCCTCTCAAACAGGAAGGAGCGTCCGATATCTCTGGGCATCTTCCCGTTACCTCCAGGAGATGCCCTTCTCACACCTGAGGCTCAGAGAGAAGCAGCAGAAACACCTGCATCAGAGCACTGGAAATTCCACGAGCTGAGCCAGCCACGGTCCCACACCAGCCTGAAGGTGAGCACAGCTTGGCTGCCCTCTTGCCGGGAGAAACTCTCACAGCACATCCTTGGCAGGATGAAAAAAAACAAAACCAAAACAAACTGAAAGGGAGGAGGGAACCCCTAAATCTTCTTTGTACAAGCCAGATGTGTTGCTTACTCGAATGGACTTTGAGGGAACTTTCTTACTGGAATAAACAGAATTTGGGTTGCATTTTCTGAATGAGTGGTTAATACACGTTAGGTCTGATCTTACTCCCAGCAGGGGGTCTTTTCTTTCTGACTGAGGACCCTTTCCAAAGGTTCCAACTTGGTTTTGCACACTAGGTGTGTAACTAGGTAGTGTAAACAGGATTAACACTGCTTTAGAAGCGAAGCTTTGGTTGCTCCATGGGCCGTGCTCTGCCTGCTGCCAGGTGTAAGGTGTAGGGAGGCCACGGAGTTGGGAATGACTGAACTTTCCTGGACTATCCTGTTATTATGAATTCCCTTACATGTAGCCTGGCTAGAATTCCTGCAATTGTTCTGTGTTCCAACAGTGAGAGGGTGGCACAGAACAAGCTGCAGGAATGGGGGAGTGGTGTTGGAGTGTGATGAGTCTGGCAGTCAGGACTCGGCTGCGCTCACAGCACAGCAGGAGGGGCATCTGCAGGGTGAAGAACTCCAGAATGTGTAAATCCTCCCTGTGTGCTTCTTGATGAGTTTTTTTGGAATACTATGGAAGTACTGTTATTTCTAGAAAGGCATGCAACTGGGGGAATTTCCTCCTAAGTGAATTTAATAACTACCTAGCAAGGGAATATTTAACTGATAAGAACTAAAAAAGCTATTCAGAAGTAATAGGAACCCCCCTTTTTTTTTTTTCCCCTCTAGAGGTCATGTGGACATAATGGGAAGTGTAAATAATGGTTAATTGTAAACATATCAAAGTAACAACATGAGTTTGATTCTAAAAATTTGTCACTTAAAAATAATCCTAGCCATGAGTTTGGGTCTTGAATTTGTGCTATTCCCTTCATGCATGAACATTTCATTAATGGTCATATATTCCTCTATAAATATCACCAAGAATGGGTGTCAGGGAGAAACCCAGGAGAAAAAAACCTGAGTGTTCTGTAGCTTGTACAGCAGTGACATTGCTGGGTATCACTGTAAGATGACACACAATTATCTACCAGTCATTTTCTTCTGCTCTTTTCTGCACAACATTGCAGGCGAGTTACTCCTTCAGGTTTAATTATTGAATTTTTAAGCTATTTTTTCCTTTTTTTTTTTTTTCTAAGGAAAAGTCTTTTAGAAACATGGCCAAAAAAAGTCAAATATACTAAGTCAACACAGCACTGACTTTCCAATGTTTAGGCTTTGAGATATTTTGATTAATTCAGTGCCACTTAATGGTATTGCTTTTCATTTTCTTCTAGATTAAACGTTCATGATAGTTTAATCCCTGCAGTTTCCAAGAGTAATCTGAAAAAATACCGTAGATAAATAAAGTCAGAAATATCAAATAGATGAGATTATTTGAAATTCCCTTAAGGAAAGGACCATTCTCTTCATTGTTTTTATTCACTGTTTTTTCTTGTGCTATCAAGCTGTTTTTCTTGAGCTTTGTGTGTGAATGTCAGTGATCAGTCTGTGCTGCATCAGTCAGTGGATGCTTTTGGAATACAAAGATGTAGAAATGTTTGAACAGAGCCAAGAGCTCTGTTGAGGTTTTATTCCTGGTTTGTGTGAACTGTGGATCCCCTCGGTAAGGGGCACCACTTCCTCCCTTCTGTATCTGCTCGCTGAACTATGAATCATTACCCAGTGGCTGAACTTCACCAATTCAAAAGGCAATTGGGTAACTTGCGTAGCTTTCTTCCCCTTTTCTTTTATTCCTCTGGAGGCATCTGTTAGTTGACTGTATTTCTGAATACTTTTGTCGGAATATCAAATATTAATAGTTGGTTATCCTGCAGTTTACTAACAAAGGAGGAGAACTGTCGGTAATTGATAGGCAGGTGTTGAAAGTGCTGAATTGTGTTTCTAGGGCTGGTAAATTCCATGTGGGAGTGTAGCTATAGGATGCAAGCTTTACATATACAGAAATGGGTGTTTTCCTCCCAAATTAAAATCTTATCTTTCGAGGAAGCACTGAAAGTAAAAATTTAGAAGTTACAATTCCTAGTAATCTTACGCTAAGTGCAAATGAGGGAATGTGTATCTATATACAGATCTCTTTTGTGTTTTTTTTTTTAAATAACCTTAAAATTTGGTTTCACTTCCTTCTCAGAGAGGGATACTAGCAGCATGCGGATTTGTGCTTTACAAAATCTGGTTGCTTCATTCTTGACAAGTTTGGGTATCCTGCAATAACACTTTAAATGTCACAGACTTCCAGGGCTTTGCTTTCACCTCTGATTCCCTCTGATTTTAGAAAACCCTAAAATATCTTCTTATCAAAACTTACCGTCCTGCCTTCATTTTGCACACACCAGCTTCAGGTTTCATCTTTATTTTCCCCAGCAAGACTCCTTTAACATTGTGAGCTAGAAAATATTGGCTTAAACAGACCAATTTGTTTTTATGTCTGCAGTGAGCTGTTCACTGTCATGTGCTGTTTAAGTCACCCTCAAATCATCTGGATGCTGGTGTGGGTCTGGCCATGAATGAGGGGTAAAATGTGAATGAAGGAGATGAGAGAAGGTCTAGAAAAGGGGCTGTTGGTTTACTCAGGTAGTGGCCTCTAATTGTATCAAACAGGGTCTAGCTTGTCCTCCCACCCAGTGTCTATTGTAGCTCTGAGTAATGGTCATAATCCTGAGTCCAGCAGCTGGATTAATTCCTGAATAAATGCCACACCTGTGGGCCTTGATACAGTCTCACTCTAAAGGCAGTTGTTGCCAGGAATCAGCTTCTAAGAAGGAACTATTTACTGATGTTCCATAGTGGATCTGAAATCTAACTGGACAGGCAGTCACTGCGGTTCCATGTCTCATTCCCAGTGTCATTCAGGGCTTGCAGTTCAGACTTTAAAGCACGTAAAAACAGTGTCAGTGAAGTGCTTGCAGATATCCCTGGAAGTGTCCAAGGCCAGGTTGGACGGGGCTTGGAGCAACCTGGCCTAGTGGAAGGTGTCCCTGCCCATGGAACTGGGTGGTCTTCAAGGTCCCTGTGATTATGATTCTGTGAGATCTTTTGTATCAGTTAAATCCATGTTCTGCATCAGTGCTCTGATCTCTGCTTTTTAAGAGGATGTTTCGAGATCCCATGTGCATTTTGAACAATTAGTTTTATAACGGCTTTGGGAAGATTCAGCAGTTCATTGTGCAGCTATAGAAGGATTATTAGTGTGGGAATGTTGCTTATTGTCTGGAAAGCTTAACAAAAAGCACCCTGAAATTGTGACTATAATTATCACCTGAGATCAAACATTGCTATGAAAAATAAAGGTATTCTTTATGCAACTGTAGCTGCCTTAAGAGAAGTGAAACAGCTGTAGTCTAAAGATGACTGTACTGGCCTAAAGTATTATTTATGTTCCTGTTTCTTTTCATTTGCGTAATTTTCAGTAAAATACAGTAATTTTGGTTTCTGATCTTTGGTTTATATGCCCAACTCTTCCCATAACACCTTAATTTGTTCATTTTTTTAATGGTAACTGTACAATTTTAGGATGAGCTCTCTGATGTCAGCCAGGCAGGCTCCAAATGTACTACTCCAGCATCCACAGCTGCTTCAGATGTGCCTGTGCTGCCTGCTGAAACTCCTCAGAAGGAAAATGTTGAAGGGCTTGCAAAGGACACAGAGATGTCGAATGACAAGGTGGACATAAGCAAGAATATTGAAGTACAGGCAGCTCAAGAGACAAGAAATGTGTCCACTGGTGAGCTGCTTTAAATTCTTAGTGCATGGTTACTATATATTAATCATGGTTACTCATGATTAATAGTTATTAAATATCTCATTGTGCCACAAAGGAGAAACATTGGGGTTTTTTTACTCTGTATTTTAAGGAGCACAAAGTATTGATAAGAGAGAGGTCTGTTGTTTATCAGTGGCTTCAGTCCCTTTTTCCTTAGAATCAGAATTATTTATGACATTTCCTTGGAATGGCACTTAGCTAGACACAAAAAGTCGAGAGATGATAGACATCTTGGTTCCACTTGCAGAAATATGGGAAATAACTACTGTTGGATGCCTTATGTTAAATTCAGGAGAGACTTAGAAATTCCAGTGTCTGCAATAGAGTACAAAATCTGGAGGTTTTCTCATTTATTACCTTGATAAGTTTTTGATCAGAAGTCTACTAAGTTGGTGATTGATTGATTAATGTAGTTAATGTCGTGGTGTTGTTATGGAGATGTACCACTTGCTTTGCCTTAGGGGGAAATGAAAATGAAGAAAAATCTGAAGTTCAGGCAATCATTGAGTCAACTCCAGAGTTGGATATGGATAAAGATCTCAGTGGATATAAGGGTTCCAGGTAAGTTGTGTGTTGTGATTTGAGTAAGAAGACAAATTTTAGAGTGTACTGTGTTTCAGTTTGGAACTTGGAACTTGTTAAGAAATTATGCCAGACTAAGATCCTGCATTATGTAATGAATCTTCTACTTCTGTGACCTTATTTCCACAAATTCCTCAGGAGGTTTTAAGTGCAACAAAAGTTCTTTATTCTATTGTTAAACCTGATGAATGTTCAGCGTATTTCATGCTGTAGCAGACTTCAGGGTACTTAAATATTCTTTACCTATTTCCAAGCAAAGGGTCTGTACCAAAGGCCTTTTTTTCCTAGATGAAGATTTCAAAGTACTAGCAGTTTCCAAACTGGACCCTTCTGCCTTCACCTGTATCTTTAAAATCTGGATTTATGACTGGCTTTGCAAATATTACAGAATTCATTTATCAGAGTCTGGTGGTGGAATCCCAGTTTTGACAGAACTTGTGTCTAGTCTGCTCCCTTTCAGGTTTTTGCTTGTGAAGGGTAACATTTCTTTCTAAAGGTCTGTAGCACCATAAAAATAAACAGATGCTGATTTAGTAGCTGGGGATGCCTGATCTTTGAGGCAAGCCCTAAACAATTCAGGGGGTAGTCACAAATCCTCCAAATACATTTTGTGTCTGTGTTTTTCATTCTTGTGATGAAATAGAAAAAATTACCTTGTGCAGTGAATGTTAATGGTGTAAGAGCTTTGTGTGAAAGGAGCCACTTCTCTGGGCAGAGGAATATTTTGATCTTTGACTCTTGTGTTCTCTTGCATTCATGTTATATTAAATGACTTCCAGTTTGGCTGAGCTGTCTGTTCTTCAGGCATTTGGACTAAGTCCTGATGGGGCTGAATTTCTACAGGCCAAAACTTGATATGCTTTAATTTATTAAAATCCTGACCAGCTGAATATGAGCACCTATGCCAAGTTTTGGATTTTGATGCCAACGTAGTATTTGAAAATAGAATCTAGGACTTGTAAGGCAACTGAAAGCTGCTGAGAATTTTACTTCTGGGTTCTGGTAGGGGTAACAAATGAACTACTGGTAAAGATGCAGAGAAAACTCTCTCCGTTGTGGTTGTGGGAATGTTTTCTGTCTGCTTTTTCACGCCTTGTTTGCTTCCCTGAGCAGCACTCCCACCAAAGGCATCGAGAACAAAGCGTTTGACCGCAACACAGAGTCACTCTTTGAAGAGCTGTCATCTGCTGGTTCTGGCCTAATTGGAGATGTGGATGAAGGTGCAGATTTGCTGGGTAAGGAAGGTTATTTAAAGATGCCGTGTGCAGGAATTTTCCTTGTTAGTGGAGTGCTTAATTATTCTTGCTGGATTTATTGTTAGGCTTCATTTGCATTAAAATCGTTTGAGCAGCATCCTGAGGTAGTCGTTGGAATTCAAACGGGAGAAAGTGTTCTTTCTTTCAATATAAAGATGTCAGCTTTAATCTTTTGGGGCATTTCTTAACACTATTCCCTATTTCATTTCTCCCTACATGTTCTCTAACACAAGGATTTTATCTCAAGGATTTTTGCCTTGAACTAGTTTTAGGTAGTTTAATTCAGATTGTGCCTGATCTGTCATGGCCTGGCTTTATCACCTCTTTAGGGATTTTAATTTGAAAGAGAATTGCAGCAAAATGCAATGGTGGTAATTTGAGAGTCAAACCATTAATTGAAAGGGGAGGGGAAACCCACATTTCTCTTCACCATCCAAGCAGCTTTCTGTTACTTCTGTGCTGACTGAACAAAGTGTAAGTTTGGGGAACATGAGTTGATCAAGAGCAAAAAGGTCATGAGAAGAATGATCTTTCCACAAGCAACATAAGATATTTTTGACCATATCATTGTTCAGGCCTCATTTCGAAATAATGCAAGCTGGTACTGTGGAATGTATAAAATGCAGATGCTGCTCTTGGTTGTTTTAGAAATGGGTTGTGTAGAGACAATCAGCAGCTTGTTTGCTTCTGTCCTCTGACCCAGCAAAAATACAGATTGTTAGCACTGGTTAGAACTCCTGTGTTGCAATCTGCATTTCTGGTTGTTCAGTGTCTCACCAGAAACGTGTTTTACATCAGGCAGGTGACATTTCTGCCAAGTGTTACTCACTGGGAGTAATGGGCCTGTCTCCAGTCTGAGATGGCTTTTCTTTGTTGTCACTCTGCTGAGCAGTGAGGATCTCCACATCCTTACTGGAACACACTTCATCCAAAACTCTTGGATGTCACTCCATTGTCACAGGGACAACTAATCACACATTCTGCATGCAAAAATACAGATACTGGAGAAATAATAACATAGAGCAACTTCCATACCTTAGATGATGTGATAAATGGATTAAACCAATCAAATTACTGTCAGGCTGTCCTGATCACAGTGCTTTGTTTTCCGTGGGCCAAAAATAATAACTTTGTATTAACTTATCAAACATTTGTCACTGACTTTATCACCATTTTCTGTAAAACTACTACTGGAAACAACCAGCGTGTGCAAACTAAGCACAGGATTATACCAGAGTTTGTTATGCAGAATGTGCTGGTCTCAAATTTTTACTCTAGAATTGTCATTTCACTTTGGGGACAATCATAGTCCAAACAGTGGCTGAAAATCCACATCTGCATCCAGGATAGTTGGTGGTTTTCAAGCTTTTGGATCTGTTCTGAGTGAGCATTAAACTTCAGTTTGGAGTTGTGTCAAAGCAGTTAATTGGGATTCTCTAATCTGTTTTCTCTTGGGCTGCATACCCAGGGGAATATTCTGGTGTGTATGCTTCTTTTTTAAAAAAATCTTTGAAATCTGTTGCTTCTCCAGTCAGGTGTTCTTGGCTGCTGCTCTCATAAAATACATTTCTCTGCTTTTTTTTTTCCCCTTGCTTGGTAACTTTTTTTTTTTTTTTTTGGCCTTTGCACTCTGGCTTTCTAATTTTTGTTCTTGCATTATAAAGGATCCCGAAACCTGTTGGAAATGAGCCTACCTACTTTTATCTGTGAATACTGAAAATGTTTAAAAAGCAATAGCTATTTGAACAAAAGCTCACTATGGCTGCAGTGTAGGGGATTTCTCCAGATATTCATGAAGTTAACAATAGCTGATCTAAGTTGCTTCACTATTAAATGTCACTTTTAATCCAAAACCCAGAGAGGGAAATTTCAAGAGGCAACTTTGACTTGCATGTCTATTTATAGATACCTTTTTTTCTTTGTTATCCAAATATCTTTTAAGTCTTCTGTTACCAAAGTTTCTTAGATTGTGTTCATAAAGTATTTTAAAAGGCCCCCACCATTAAGATACCTTTCTCATTCATTATGTTAGTCTTGAATTAACATAATTTCTGCTGTTATCACTGTAGTAATTATTTTGCTGTGCAAGATGCAAAATAATTATTCTCTCCTGAAAGTTTCTCTCTAAAATCCTACAAATTATATTAGGTGTGCCAAAAATAGGATAAGAAATTAATATTCAGAAATTTAAGTAATGTTGAAGTAGCTACATAAAAAGATAGGTTCACTTTTTTTCCATAGTAGTATATTAATTGGAAATGTTTCCTGACTGGCTTAGCGTTTCTTCCAAGTACTGAGCTTCTAAATTATTTCACAGAAAATGAGAGACTTTATTACTGATTTTTATAAGAGGTCCTAACCAGTAGAAATGGTTGTGACAGACTTAATTTCTTCAACATCTGTCCTTCGTGTAAATCCTGCTTCTAATCACATCACATTCCACTTCAGACTTTTGGTGGTGGCTTTGTTTTAATTCGCTCTTACTTCATAAGTCTAAATCTTTTATTGCTCTTCGCTCATACTACACCTTACATGAAATGTTTCTTGTTCTTGTTTTTGCTCTACATGGAATGCATGGGCATTAAAGACCATAATTTCTTTGGTAAGGTATCATTTGCTCTGGGGAAATCTGCAGGGCTTTCACAATCTGAGCTTTTATTCAGCATGTCTTGTGTCTGTAACTGATATACTTGTGTATCCAACGTGGTATAAAAGACAGCTGAGCATTTTAAACTTACTGTTTTGTGGACTAATACTTCTGCAATATGTGCTATGTTTGTTTTTTTACTTACTAGTATTGTAACATCTCCAAAATATAGAGGGCAGGTGGAGGCAGCACTGGTCACTAGCCAGGGATGCCTTTAATTGAAGTCAAATTGGGAGTAGGTGGAGGGGAAAGCTAATTATAGAAGGTAGGTTGGACCTGAAACTTCAGATAGCTCACAGTTCTCCTGACAAGTTTGTCATACTTAAAATTGAGCTGGCTTTAGACAGTGGCAAAACATAAGTTTTGTGAAAACATCCATTTTATCTGCTAATTTCATGTGTTTGTTTCCTTTGGAAAGGAATGGGACGAGAGGTTGAAAACCTTATTTTGGAAAACACTCAGCTGTTGGAGACAAAGTAAGTGAGACTGTTTATGTAAAAACACTGATTTTGTTATTTCATTATATCTTCATACACAGTAAAAATTATAAAAATATGCTTTCAGTTCCAAGTGCAGTGCTGGTATAAGTGTCTTGAATTTGAAGGTGTATTTGGCTAAATGTATAGCTGAGTTGGTATTCCTCTAGAAATTAAGGACCTAAGAAGCAAAAGCTGCTTTTATCTTTGTAAGGCTACAAGAAATGCAGTGCTCTGTCCTAATGAGATCATCTCCCTGTCAGAAGAGCTGTAAGTGCAGAGGCAAATCCATTGGAGCACTGTTGAGGAGTTTATTCCAAACAAACTGATTTATCAATACTTTTTTCTAATACAGGGGTGTGAATGTGTTTAAACATTTACAATTTGACAGGGGGCAGGGTTTGATCTCTTAGAAAGCTGTATTTTTTTGCAGCAGCTTTTATGAAGTGTGTAGGTCTTCAGGAATAAAATCAGGCTTGAAGCTGAACCATGAGCCCATGATCATCCTTGTAATGGTGTATTTTCCATGTTTGTGTAGAAATGCACTGAATGTAGTGAAGAATGATTTGATAGCAAAGGTGGATGAATTGACCTGTGAGAAGGATGTACTACAAGGTGAATTGGAGGCTGTAAAACAAGCAAAACAAAAGCTTGAAGAGAAGAACAAGGAACTGGAAGAAGAGCTGAGAAAGTAAGTTTAATTCCATGGTTGTGAAAAAGAAAGGAGAGAACCCGACTGTGATATTTAATGCAGCTGTTTTTTATTTTGTATTTAGAGCTCGTGCAGAAGCAGAGGAAGCAAGACAGAAAGCTAAAGAGGATGATGATGTAGGTGTATGTGTGTGTGTGTGTGTTTTCTTGTGTGTGTAATTCACAGTGGAACGTTAAAAATCCACATGTTTAGTGAGTGCTACTAAGCTTTACTGCTTAATAAGTAGTGGTAAAGTTCCTCCATGAATAGAAAAGACAGAAGGTCTAAAGAGCACAAGTAAACTTTAACTGACAGTGATCAGTTTTCCTTCTTTCCTCTCTGCCCATTATTGTGTCACATTCAGATTATATCAGATACAAAGGATGGGAGGAGAGGAAGACAAAATTGAGTTAGTTTTACAAAGCCCCAGATGGTCTGGAATCTGGAATTGTGGGAAGGCAGAGGGTGACTCTGCAAGGCCCTGCTTGTGCTCCCTTGTTCCTCCCATGTTTGCTTTGCTGTGTGCCCAGAGCGATGTCCCCACGGCGCAGCGGAAGCGTTTCACCCGCGTGGAGATGGCCCGTGTCCTGATGGAGAGGAACCAGTACAAGGAGAGGCTGATGGAGCTCCAGGAAGCTGTGCGATGGACTGAGATGATCAGGTGAAAGGCTCTTGTAAAGTCTTGGGCTGAGCCCCTTGGATTTTACAACCTCCTCGTTTTTAGCTGCAGGGTGATCTGGTCAGGAGAGTTAATTGCCTTCTGCTTTGTCTCCCTCATGCCCGTGAATAACTTTGTTTTTTAAATTGTGGGCATATAACTTGTCAAAATGGGTTCCTGGTGAGAGCTCAGTGAAAACTTGTTACTTCTTATGATGCAAAGTAAGCATCCTTTGAAGAAATGTGTGTATTTTGGAGCAGTTACAAAAGCTGATAATTTTAAATACCCCTACCAAACCAGAGTCGAGTGGTGCTGCCTGCTGGCCACGTACAGCAATGGCACTTAATTGTTCCCATTGTCCTCCTATCTGTGAGCCTTTGTAAAAATGCATATTCCCATCAGCCATGGCTTGTTTTTCTATAGCTATTGTCTGCTGTAAAATCCCTCTCCTATCTCTGTTAATGCATCTATGACTTCAGGAACACTTACTTTATCCCTTACTTACTGATATGTTGAAGAATTAGAGGCTTTAAAACAAAAAGCAATGGTTAAAATATTAAAAAATGTGAGGCAGAAGAATTTAAAGGGTTTGCTGCTTTCTTTTAGCTGTTTTCATTGCAAAGTGTTACACAGGTTTGTCTCTTCTGTCTGGAAAGCACTCCTTAAACACAACTGGTGTTTGGGATGCAAAGAAATGTGGATGTAGTATATTATGTAGTCTCAGTTTATCTAGTGGGAATGTCAGTGTCGTGCTCTGGTCAGAAAAGAAGTGGCAACGTGAAGAAACCGGCTTTGTTACCTGTTATCCTTTTCTTTAAAAATAAGAGTTACACACTGTTCCTTTCCCTTTTTTAATTGGTGCTGACTCAGTAAACTTGGAATTTATTTCTTGTAGAGCATCAAGAGAAAATCCAGCCATGCAAGAGAAGAAGAGATCGAGCATTTGGCAGTTGTAAGTATCGAAACACAACTCTCTGGCAAAAATAAATAAAAGATCCTAACCAATTAACTGGCACATTTGTGAATGTTAGCTAATTATCCTTTAAGATGTCTTAACTGTTCTCCTCTTGTTACCCAGTGTGCCAGCTTGGTAAGACTGGTCTAGGAGACAAAATGTATCGTAAACTGCATCACATAGTGAATGGTTGTGCACTTTGTGAAATTAAATGCCAAAGTGTTTGATTTTTTGAATTCTTTTTTCTAGTTGAATATGCACCAGGACTCTTGTCCTGAACATTTTTCTGGACTCTTTTTTTATGATGAATAGTAGAAACCTGAATAGCATGTGTGGATTGCATTTATTTCAGCTTCCTTTTCCTCTGTGAAGTACAGCTCAGTGATTGTTACATTGTCCTTGCTAACTTCAACTTCTTTAAATCTAAACCATTGCTTTTCACAACAAGATATTTGTAAAGTAATCATTTTAATGTTGTGGTTTGCTGATAACTCTCTATCTTTTTGCCCAGAAAGCGGTGGGGTTTTTAAAGTGCTCTCTGCATGAACTAATGTGCTTCATAAACTTGCTTTCCAGGTGTGATGTTGACATCCTAATATCTGTTGGTTCCCTGTAGATGTTAATTCAAGATGAAACTCCCATTAAATTTGATGAACAAATGGGATAATAATTCTTTTAAGGATTTTTCTTACTGACATGAATTTCTGTGCTTTGAGGGTGTTGCTGAGCGTGTGGTGGCTGCTGCTATGTTGGGCTCCAGTTTCTTAGTTTAACTGTCTTGAGCAGGCTGGCATATGCACTGTTTTGCCTGCACAGTCAAATCTGGATATATCTGACAAATCTTGTCTCTTTTTTTTTTTCCCTTTCTTCTAGTTTTAGCAGGCTCTTCAGTTCCTCCAGCAATACAGCAAAGAAACCAGAACCTCCTGTCAACGTTAAATACAATGCTCCAACCTCACACATTACTCCGTCAGTCAAGAAAAGAAGCAGCACCTTATCTCAATTACCCAGTGACAAATCTAAAGCCTTTGAATTCCTCAGTGAAGAGTAAGACATTTTAGTTTTATAATACTAGATATGCTCTATCAAGTGTTTACTCTTTTAATCCTCTGAGATTTACCATGCTGCTAAGTGTAGTGTTCTCCTGAAGTGAGTGTTGATACATAAGAACTCAAGATAGAGCAGGCTGAAACGTGCAGCAGTGGGTGAGTACTCAGGATACCTGACAGTAATATTCTACTTGGTAAATATCACTGTCTTTTCTTAAAAGTGCATTTAGGCACAGGAGGCAGCACTAAGTACACTTCTATATGCAAGTTTTGTAGCTAAGCAATAACTGTACAGGTACTTCAGTGGAAAATAACATGAGTCAGCCTAACAAGTATCTGTAAATACTTTTTTCTCCTGTGCTTCTCTTTGACAATATATTCTTTTGATGTACAACTTCTAAAGCTTCTAGTAGAGGTACATAACCCAAGTTAATTTTCTGTAAGGATGCTGGCAACAGACTTTCTGGTTGTGCCTTTCAGCAGTCCCTTAGAAACAGCCCACAGGAAACCTGGGAGTGTTTCTGGTGACCCAATTCCACAGAGATCTTGGTTATTGAGTTTAACATCAACTCCCATTGCACAAAGAGTTCTAAAGAGGTTTTTCAATAATGTTTCTTCTCCAGAACTGAAGCCAGTTTAGCCTCACGCAGGGAGCAGAAGAGGGAGCAGTATCGCCAGGTGAAAGCTCATGTTCAGAAGGAGGATGGCAGGGTGCAAGCATTTGGCTGGAGTCTACCTCAGAAGTACAAACAGGTATCATGTTTTCATGTGTAATGGTGACAACTTCATGGTTTGGGACATTTGAATGGAACATGACTTCACAGCTTGTGTTTGAGTGATTCCAGTGTTTTTTTGTTGAACTTTTGTAGTAAAGAATCTTTCGAAGGGAACAAGGCAAAACTCCTAATCTTGTTTAATAAAGTCTGAGCAACTGAAAGACTGTAAAAAAACTTTTCCATTCTGTTTTGTTTTGCTTTTTTAACCTAGGTGGCAAATGGTGGACAGGGTGAAAATAAGATGAAGAATTTGCCTGTGCCTGTTTACCTGAGACCTTTAGATGAGAAGGATACCTCTATGAAGGTAGGATATTTCCACTGGTGATAGAGAGACTTGCACAACCTATACCTTGAATATTTTTATCTTAGACTCAGGTATGTTCTTTTTGAAATCAAGTAGTTCCTTTTTAAAGCATAGTGAAGAAGAATTTAAACTTCAGTAGAAACGTACATGACTTTATTGAATTCCTTAAAATGGCCTGCAGTTATACAATAATGTTGATATTACTTAGCATATTTAACAATGATTGTGTCTTTTTTTTTTTTTTAGTTTAGAATTCAAGTGAAATATTTATTTTCCTTCCCAGCTGTGGTGTGCTGTAGGGGTGAACCTGTCAGGAGGGAAAACACGGGATGGTGGGTCTGTGGTTGGTGCCAGTGTGTTCTACAACGATGTGACTGGTGTGGATGCAGATGGCAACAAGCAGCAAACAGGATCTCAGAGTAGCTTAGATAAACTAGACCAGGAGCTCAAGGTAAGGTTCCTGTAAAGACATTATTCATAAATTTATGTAGTTAAACATCTTTACCATGTAGCTGTAGAGTAATGAAGTATTTTGTAATCAAGCTTATTGGTAACAAATATATTTTTCTTGGTAATCATCAACCCAAGATAGTTGGGTTACTGAATCCACCTACAAAAATTCTGTGATTCTTCCCTGTGTGCCAGCTTATTGGCAAATCCGAGTAGTAGATGAATTTTACATCAAATTGATGCATTGCTTATGCTAGTGCTGCCTCCTGTAAAAAACATTTATGACAAAACTGTTCATGTTCTGACTGCCATGACTGGAATTCAGGTTAAGGGTATAAAAACAAAGACTTAATTTTTAAGTGCTTTGGGACATCACATTAATCTGGGTCTACACTGAGTATGGCAAGCTGGTATGTCAGTAGTGTTCTTATTTCTAACTGTAGAATTTGCAGTATAATTATTTTCTATATGTTTTATGCAAATATGAAATATGAGGGAGGTTTATATTTCAAATGCATAGAGAACAAGTAGCTCCATGTAATTTTACAGTGGCACTGAAGATATTTAACTTAGCACATGTTTATGTATTCTTCTGTAGTTGAAAATGTAAGAACATGAAAGATTGAAGGTAATGGTTTTATTGTCCCCCTTCTTGTTGTTCATTTCTGTTCTGCCTTTTTTCTCCTTCAGGATCAGCAGAAGGAACTGAAACATCAGGAAGAATTATCCAGTCTAGTTTGGATCTGTACTAGCACACATTCTGCCACAAAAGTTATCATTATTGATGCAAATCAACCAGGAAATATTCTGGACAGTTTCATTGTTTGCAATTCTCATGTGCTTTGTATTGCCAGCGTGCCAGGTAAAGACTTGGGGATGTTTATCTCCTGCTTTTTTTATGTCTTACTCAGATTTTTCTTATGCTGGGTGAAAACCCAAAGATTTGTTAATTGGTGTGATAAAAATGCTGCTGCAACACAGCAATAGGAAGTGTTTAGTTGTGCAGAAAACTATTGCATTTTTACTTTACTGTTCCACTCTTTAGTTGGCTCTTGGCCTAAACCAACTCAAAGGTAGAGAGGTGTCAGCAGCCAAGAGTAACTGTTTTGTCTGATGTATTACAAATTGAGCAATGGTTCCAGTGCTTCATGGAACTGTGAACATCACAAAAAGAACAATGTGGTTTGCTTTTTTGATCTCTTCAGCCCCTTGAAGATAAGTAGCAAGTCTTGGAGCTTCCTGCAGAGGGAATCCTTGTTGCATTGAGAATATTATGAGTCTTAAAAGTATGAGGGGGGTTGTACAAGAGAAAAACAGCTTTTCTTCCAGAACAAAGGATCTGTTGCAGCTGAATTCTTTTTAAATATGTAGACAGGTATCCCTGCATATATACATTGTTATTAAATCTAATTTTAATGGAAAATGTAATTAAAGTTGAAATAAGCTGTTTGGAAAACTGCAGATTGAAGTATATTGTATGACAGTTCAAATGTGCGGCATATGTAGGCATTGCCTTTGTTTTGTGAGCTTTGTGACAATATCTTTTATATTTGTTGATCATGTTAAAATAAGCTTGTAGACAGGTACCTGCATGTTTGATGTCAGGTGCTGGAGAGTTCATTCAGTTTGAAGTTTAGATAGAAAAGTGACTGGGCTTTATCCCTATGAAAAACACACGGGTTTAATCTCTTCCAGGGGCCAGGGAAACAGACTATCCTGCAGGAGAAGAAGGATCTCAGGAAGCAGATCCCAGTCAGGTGGACAAGTCCTCTCTGTGTGGCAGCATGACCAGCAACAGCTCTGCTGAGACTGACAGCCTGCTGGGGGGCATCACCGTGGTGGGCTGCACTGCTGAGGGGCTCACGGGGGCACCTGCAGCTCAGGATGCCAACGGGGGCTCCCCAGTGGCAGAGAAACAGTCAGGTATGAAAATATCACAGCCCTGCCAGGGGTGGCCAAACACCTTCAGGTGTAACTGGAAATTACTGGTGAAACTGGATAATATAATAGTGTGTCTCTGTGGCCTGTGAGTCTGACATACTTTTAGTGTGTAAATGTAGCTGAAAACTCCGTGGAGGTGATAACTAACATTTGCTTCTTGCAAATGTTTTTGAGAGAACTCTCATGTGCACGGTTTAAGGAGAGCTTTTAATTTATTCAGTACTTGAAACACAGATCTTGCCAACAAATGACTGGAGAGAAGGTGAATAAATGCCTTGAATTTTGTCAAGTCTTACTAGAGATTTCAGTGAAGCTGCTTGTTTCGTAGACATTCTTACTGTTTTCTGTCATATGTCTTCAGAGCTGTATGGTGATGTGACTGGCAATGGATATGGGGTGATTGGATTTGTTCACTGCTGTTCTAGTTAATCACTTAAAGGACAATCTGTGCCATCAGTCACATCACTTTTTTATGCAGTTTAACCTGGGAAAGTTTAGGCATTTCTGATGTGATTTTCTAGTTAGATGAAATATAAAATCTGGATTATGACAGTCTGGTCACTTCAGTTTTAAGTATGAAGTTCTGGCTGTTTTAAATAATTGAGAATTCTGTCACAGTTGTTGAACATTTTTTTTTTCCCCCAATTTGTTTTGTTTACGTAGATATTGCAACGGAAAATAACTTAGGAGATGAGAACATTCCAACAGCAGAGGAGGCAACAGAAGCAACAGAAGTCAATGCAGGGACAGGAGAAGACACAGCTGATATTGCACAAACTGGAGTCTACACAGAGCATGTCTTTACAGATCCTTTGGGAGTGCAGCATACAACAGAGGCATCTCCAGTGTACCAGCCTAAGTACATAGTCTCAATCCTCATACCTCTTAAAATGTATTTAAAATGAAAACTATGACGTTTTTGGGAACATAGCATGGAGACAAAATGGCTACCTTTTGTTTTTCTTGTTAAGTGTGTTGAGATTTGTATAAGTAGTGTCTTGGTACAAGACACTCTATGCCTTGTGACTCTTCTACCATTCCTCAGATATCAACAATATTGACAGGCTTGAATGGAACCTGATTTTCCTTGTGTAAGAAAATGTCCACTTGAAGAAATTCATTGTTATTGTCATTTCATCTGTGTCATATTTTCATGCACAGTTATACCTTAAGTACTTCCAGAGCCAGTGTAGGAATTAGCAGCAATGAAGTAAATGCCTAGGTTATAGGCTGAGTAATCTGTGCACTCCATTAAATGTATCTTAACTGGGTTTTTTTTCTAGTACTGAGTCAGAGTTATATAAAGATGTTGCAGTTTTGCCAAATGAGCAAGATCTAGTGAGAGAAGAAGCACAGAAAATGAGTAGCCTTTTACCGACCATGTGGCTTGGAGCACAGAATGGATGGTAAGGAAGTGCTAATCTTGTTAAACTTATTTGCAGTAATTGCTTTAAACTTGCTTCTTGTGCCTACAGGCCTGATAACTGTCTCGAGTCAAGATTAAGGGCAGGAAGATCTCAAGAGAGCCAAAACCTCACAAGCTTTGCTGTATTTAGGCATTATAGAATTCAAAGAAAGCCTTGTAGGTGGTTAGGAAGCTCTTTTTCGTGGATAGCACTTTCATCTGCAGAAAAGTTTTGTGGGGTTTTTTTTGTAGTCAAAGAAATAGTTACGGTCTGATAATTCCATAACTTTCAGTATTTTGTTGTGCAAGAAAAATGTATTGAACTTTTTACTACAGATGGATCTGCAAAGAGGTTTGTAGTGCTTTAGGCCTTTGAAAAAACCACTCTGCTGCTCATGCAGTTCTTCCTTTCAGTCTGTACGTAGTTTCCAGTGGAAGATGAAAACTTATTTTCCCTTTGATTGTGGATTTCAGTTATAGGGGTTTTGCTTATGGTTGTTTTTGTCTGGTAGTGCTTTTAATCCCTCCTGATTTGTCTTTGCAGCCTGTATGTTCATTCGTCAGTGGCCCAGTGGAGGAAATGTGTTCATGCCATTAAACTTAAAGATTCTATTCTCAGTATTGTGTAAGTCCTGAAAGAATGTCATGTAAATCATAATGAATTTCTGTTAAAATACTGTCAAAGTAGTTTTATATTTCCTCCTCAGATATTGGGAATGTCAGTTGCCATAACTGCCTGCATGCTCTTTGAGGGACAGTGGAAAACATTCGGGGAGTAAGGAAAATAAAAAGGAACCTTGTATCTGTTGGAAATACGTAGCCCAAATGATGAGCTGTAGCTGTTTACTCAAAACAGTTACAGGTTGCTATCCTTGATGTTTTCTTCAGGCATTGTAGCTAGCTATATTTCAAGATTTTTGGACTGGATTTTGACACCTTGCTACATCCCTTTTCTTGAACTATATTGGAGAAATCAAAACAGTAGGGCTAACATGACTGTAAAAGTATGCTGTTTATACCTTACTTTAAACTTGCCCTTTGAGCAGTGCAGTCTAACAGTTTCTATTGTTGTGCCTCCTTTTTTCCCCAGACATGTAAAAGGAATAGTGTTGGTTGCACTGGCTGATGGAACATTGGCAATCTTTCACCGAGGAGTTGGTAAGCATTCTGTTAGATCTGGAAACCAGTGAAGCTGTAACAGTATTCAGGAAAGAAATGTGCCGTTTATGAGTAGTGTTTTGATAATGTATTCCCCAATGGGAATGTTTTTTACAGGTTGCCTTGAGAAATCTCTCTAGTTATTTCAGTTGGAGATTCAAGTACCATTTTTGCACTGTCCTGGTGCATTAATAGAATTTTTTCTTGCTCTGAAGTAGAGAATGGGATATATCTGAGATAAATAGTGAAAAGCCACTTGGAAAGTTCACTTTGATTATTATCTCTCTTACTTTTTCGTTATGCTCAGTAATTGTGTCTTCTGTTTAATTAGCGTTAATTGTCCCTGGCCAAGTCCTTCAATGAGAATTTTGTAAGCATCCCTTTCAGAATTTCTGCCCAAACCATTTATGAACAAGCTCCACAAATAGGACCTGGAGGGGAAAGTCTCATTATGAGTAACTGGAACTTATCTGTTGGCTTTTTTCCACAGCCTCTCTATTCATTTGCTCTTTACCTTGTGATGTTTAAATTCCTGTGCTCAGTATTTAAAAGAAATAAAAAGTTGCACAACACTAATGCAAATACTGGGGAAGATGCATCTGGGATGACGTTATGTTTTCAGTGGTTTTGTTTTGTTGATTTTTTTTAAGAACTCACTGTAGTGGCTTACAATCCTTAATGAATGTCAGGGATGATCTGTGGCTTAGCTCTGTCTACAGAAGAATTTTTTTGGTGTTGAATGAGCAAATTTGGTAGGCTTTTAGTAGATTTCAGGGGCCTTTTTCTATGATCCTGCAGCACATTTAAAAATACCCCCTTGCTGCATTGGCCAATATTTCCACGTTCAGCCAAGGCAGCAAGTGCCTCAGGCTGTGTGTTGTCATGTATACTGGTGCCTGGCCAAACAGTCCATTTAGCACTGGGTGACTTGCTGTTTTAAAAAATGTTTTACTGTGTTTTGAACATGAATCGTTGTACCTCCTTATTTTAAAAAAGCAGCATTTGGGATACTGATAGTTCCTATAACTCACTGCTCTTAATGAGGAGCCAAGCCATGAATTTGTATTGACTTACCCAGATTATTACAGTGTTTTAAAAAAAATTAGATCCTGTGCTTTTAAATTGTTCTTGATCTCATAGGAACCAATGTTTAGTTTTGCTTTTTCTTTTCCTTTTCCTTCTGCTTTCCAAGATGGTCAGTGGGATTTGACAAACTATCACCTCTTAGACCTGGGCCGGCCCCACCACTCGATACGGTGCATGACAGTGGTACATGACAAAGTCTGGTGTGGCTACAGGAACAAAATCTACGTTGTTCAACCAAAGGCCATGAAAATAGAGGTAAGCTAAAATGGTGATTAGAATAATTAAATGATGCTCTAAAGCCACAGCTCACACTGCAGAGTAACTCCAGAGAACACCTATTTTGTTCATCAGTACAGAAAGAAGCAACCAAACAAATTTGTTTTGGGAAATACTGTGACAATTTCTAAAGATGTTTTCACTTTTTTTTGGAAGACCTTAGGCCACGATGAGACAGTTTTCACTTACTAAAACCAATTTTTGAGTGGTTTAGTTCTTCACCTCTAGCTGGCCAGGAACTGGAAGTGTCCTTGCACTGAGCTTGTAAGACAAGCTCCCAACTTATACTCTTTTATGCCTCTTTTTATTCTTCACCTACCTGTAAACTTCTCTATAATCTGTCTTTGCATACATACTTCAGGGGTTTGTAAGTGTTAATCTTGAGTGTGCTCTCCCTGCAGTTAGAGTAATTTGTTTATGTAACGTATGTAATGTTCTACAGTTTTATCTGTACCTGACATCTCGAGTGCAGAAGGTGGCTGGGGTTTCTGCAAGCCTTTAGCAATATTAATGTTTCAGCTTCTCCTAATTGGCCTGAGACATGATCCAGATCTTTTGAGGTTGACTGCTCAGCAGTTCTGAAAATAATAACCACCCAATTAATAAGCTGTTTTTGTGAAGGCTGTATTTATATGGAAAAAGTGAAATGAAGTTCATGCAACAGGGGCATTCATTGACTGTTTTGCTGGTGAATAGTGTGTATTTTGTAGGGGTGGCTTTGTATGCAAGAGTCAATCATGGCAGAACTAGGAAGAGAAGCACTTTTTGGGCACATGCATCTTGTGCTGTGACAGCAGAACCTCAGACCAAAAAGGCTTCAGGTTGAAGAGAGACAGAAACCAGAGCAGGCTGGGATGTGATGTGTAAATGAAGACACAGTAAGAAACTACAGCTTTAAGATCAAACTCAGGGAGAGGAATCAGCAATTTTACTATTACTTTACCAGCACCATATGGTAGTTGTAACTAAGCTAAACATTATCTTGTGATCTTGCAGATCAGAGGGTTGTGGTTGACTTAAGAAAAGTGCCGGTACAGACGGTCTGAGAGTAACAGAGAAATCTTTCTTACTCTTTCCCATGTTTTCATCTTTTCAATTTTAAACTCCAATGTTTCATAGAAGTCATTTGATGCCCACCCAAGGAGGGAGAGCCAAGTGAGGCAGCTGGCCTGGGTGGGTGACGGGGTCTGGGTGTCCATTCGCCTGGACTCCACCCTGCGCCTCTACCACGCGCACACCTATCAGCACCTGCAGGATGTGGACATTGAGCCCTATGTAAGCAAAATGCTAGGTAAGTTTATGAGAAAAACTGGTGTGTTCTTACACCTCTTGCTGTCTGGAGCAAGCAGTTCTCACTGGGTGGGTGGAAGGGCCAGTCAGATCAGTTTGTGAAACCTTGAGTGTGGAAGGAGAAGCCTAAATCGGTGTGTAAAGCGTGATGAGGATGATGGATCATCTGTTCCAGTCTCTTGATCTTACCTGATGTTTAAAGTGCCCTTGAAAACTCAGAACTCATGAGAGAGCTAGTGGTTGGGTTGGGCAGGCACCAACAAAGAAACTGAAAACTTTCTCTTTTTTACTGTACCAATACTTTTTTTTTTTTTTAACCTGACAATGGGAAGAATTCACTATTTGCCTGGAAAAAATGCCTCTTTCTTCAAGAAAAGGCAAAATAGCAGATTTTTGTCGCTATTGAGCCTAATAAGCTGTCTGATTTCTTTTTTTTTATTAATATCTATGTAAGAGCAGTTTGCCCACCTACATAACACAACAAATACAGGTAATTGGGTTCTGGGAAATCCTTCCCAAGTCACTGCTGTGCCATTGCATTAACTGGTCAGCCTTGTGCTCCCCTCATCCTGCTAATGGATGAGAATTAATTTTAATGGATGAGAAACCATTATCTTTCATCTGGAAACTCACTTTTTTTTATGTGTGTGTTTTTTTTTTTTGGTAAGGCCCAAAAGATTTTACTGTGCAGCATTATGGAGCTGTTGTACCTCTTTTGCTTTCTCATAGTTAATGTTAGACTCTTGCAGTATAGGTTCACAACTTAATTACAGTATTGTAGACTTTAAGGTTATCTTTACAACTTAAATGTGCTCCTCTACTTTGTGTTTGAAATGGGAGGGAATTATTTGTCTGCGTGGTTTGGGAGATGGAGTTATGATTCTCTATTATAGAACTAAACTTATTCTTGCTCATAATTTTTGATGAAAAGCATCTTTTGTTTTTAGGTACTGGTAAACTGGGATTCTCATTTGTGAGAATCACAGCTCTTATGGTGTCTTGTAATCGTTTATGGGTAGGAACAGGAAATGGTGTCATCATCTCCATTCCATTAACAGAAAGTAAGTAAAATATAAATCAATAGCTCTGTGCAATATGCTGTAGACAGAAAAAAGAGTATTAAACACCATTCAGATGCTTGCTAATGGATAGAAAGCTTCACTGCCAGGTGTGAATCTTTCAGGTTTGTCACAGATTCGGGCCTGTGTGATGTTTAGCACCTAAATCTGTGCATGTGGTTACAATTACTACGAGCAAAAAAAAACACATTTCCAGAATCTCCTGTACTTCAATTTGATCAGTGTTGCTGTGACTTGAATCAAAGGGACACTTTGAAGCCTTCAAGGTGTTCTGAGCATTAGCAGCATTTACAGAAGTTTATTGCTTATAAGAGACATCTTTAGTTTTCTAATTAATGCTATTTTCGATTGCCATGTGATCACAAAGTAGATTTTTTTGTTTAATTTGAGCCAGTTGCTGTTGTTGCTAACACAATTTGTTTGGCTTTAGTTCTTAAGAATTCATCACAAAGTGGGTGAAAAGGACTGGAACAGCTTTAAAGGACATGTTGAGAGTTATAGGAGCTGTAAACACATTCTTCAAACAGGTCATTAACTTCTAGGTCAAATTTGAGTCATGTAAATCCAGGTATCTGCATAACAACAGACCCCAAACTCTTGTCATAGGCTGAAACTACTTGGGGGTGGGAGAGGAAACATTCAGTTGAACCCCAGGAGAGAGGGGCATTCCAGCTCAAGGGCAAAACAAATCCTAAATAGGTAAAGCTTGGGAGGAATCTCTGTGTAAATTGATTGCATTTAAATAACAACAAAAAAAGCCCTCAACACTTGTGCTGAGGCGAATTGTTCAAAGAGGTGAACAGAAGTTTCAGAAAATAGAACTCTGATAGTCCTAGTTGTACTGTGGTTACATAGAAAATGAGTGTAGGATGACAGGTGAAATTTTAGGGTCATTTAATAGTGAAAACTCTTCATGTTGTATCTGCTTTGTTGAACAGCACACACATGCATTGTTTCTCATACTGTTCCATTGCATTGTCCATCCATTCAGTAAATGTCTTTTTTTTGCATTGCATGAATGTACTAAGGAAGGACAGACTTCCTGTCATGAGTTTGAAATAGTTTAAATCATGCTTTCAAAAATTATAGCTCTTGATTTGCGTGAAGCTTAATTTGATGTTTCCAGAGGAGCTTGTGAACATGAAGAAATCCCTATTAAAGCTCTTCAGTTTCATCTCAGTTTTGTTAATTGTCGGTGGATCAGAACAGCCGTTTGGGGGTAGCCTGAGAGTGGGGTTGAGAACCCTTGGTAGGAATATCGATGGTTTTCAGAAGCAGTGATGGCATCTCTGAATTCCCTGGGTCTCAGTAGCTGGGCAGCTTTGACATCTGCAGATGATGTTTCAAAAGGGCACGTGAAAACACGAGTTGTTCTATATTATTTTGGAGCTTCCTGCCAAGGAAAGAGAGAAAGGGGAAACGTTGCTAATCAATAATAAACTTTAAAGTGAAAAGCACATGACAGTGGCAGTGCTTTTGTGTCCATTTTGTACTGAAACTTCTATAACAAGATGCTGTTCTTTGTGACTTTTGATTGAATCTTCTGTAATTAAATATCTGCTGTTTTTTAGGAGCTAAAATTTTAAGCTCTACCTTATCAAAAACCAAAATATGAGTGGTGGGTTCTCATTAATCCTTCTCCTCTACTGTCATACCTATCCATTTCCCCTTTCCTCCTTTCTCACTAGCTGTAATCCTCCACCAGGGACGTTTACTGGGGCTGCGGGGTAAGTGCAGATCCTGAACAAAAACCTATTTTCAGGCTTCTAATAGCCACTTCGAGGCTGTTTCCCACTCCTTTATAGATTTACCCTTTGTATGTTCCTAAATGTTTTTCCACTTGCAGTTACTGCATTGCAGCAGTTTTATGTTTGCTAAATGGCCACCAATCTGCTCAGCAGTTTAGCATATCATCCTGTGTTGCAGCTGAACTCTCATACAGACTTTGTTTTTCTTCCAGCCAATGTGATACCACATCTTATAACTTTGTCATTAATCCACATCATTTGCTGTCTTGTTACAAATCACCGTTTCTTTCACTACTTTGATAGTCTCTGGAATGGAGATGGCTTGTATGTCTAGCATGAGTACTCCTCTGTTTCGATGGATTTTAAAACTCAGTAAAAACTAGATGTAGAATTGTAATATAGGGTAGCTCCTTCGTGCCCACAGGTGGCTATTTTTGGAGAATATTTTGCTGGCAAGGGGATACCCTATGATTAGTTGGAATGCAAGTGTCTTTAATTATATGTTTAAGTACATTGAATTTGCTCCCACTGAAACACATTAGAGGTATTTATTTTCTATGAAAGATACAGTCCTTTCACAAATTATTTTTTTCCCAAAAGTAGGATATTGAAATCTGGTGTTTATGCTAGACTAATAAGAATCCTGCTCCATTTTCTGATGTACTTAAAATAACGAAGCATGCAATCTTTTTCTTTCCAGCTCTGTCTTGAATTGGCATTGCTGCCCTCCTGTTTCATTTTTATCTAAGTTGGCTTTAGCTTTTAGATGGTACCATAAGGTTTCTTAACAAATAACCGCTGCCGTCATTTGTGTGGTTTTTTTTTTTTTGAAGTAGAAAACAACTTCTCTTCTTTTCCAGCTAATAAAGCAGCAGCAGGCTCTGGAAACCGCCCGGGGAGTGTAATCCGTGTGTATGGAGATGAGAACAGTGACAAAGTGACCCCAGGGACGTTCATCCCCTACTGCTCCATGGCACACGCACAGCTTTGCTTCCACGGGCACCGCGACGCCGTGAAGTTCTTTGTCGCTGTACCAGGTGAGGTTTTGTTGCCATTCCTCAGGTGAAGCTGCCCCTTTTTTTATTTTATTTTATTTTTTTTCTTTTTCATTTTCTTGGTTAAACACGGTGTTTAGAAAGGGCATCAGAGTCAGTGTATGAAGTCATGCATTCAGGAACAATATATCATATTTCATTTACAAGGGCTTGTCTGATTGCTGAGTGCGGAGCTGTTTAATGGGAGGAAAAGGGTTTGGTCACAAGTAAGTGCTTTGCTTCCATCTGAAAAAGAAACACTGTGGTGAGTGCATGCCTATTAATAAGGTAGTCAACTGCTTTAGGCATCATGTCATCCACTTGATTTTACTCTCTGAGATATGGCCTAAAAATGTGGTTTTTTTTTTTTTTTTTTTTTTGATCCAGGTCAGGTTGTTTGCCCACAGAGTAGTGGTGGGACAGAGCTAACAGCTGATAAACAAGCCCAAGAGTCCTTCAACCAGAGTCCCTTAAAATCAATGTTGGTGATAAGTGGTGGAGAAGGATACATTGACTTCAGAATGGGTAAGAAACCTGAGCTTAAAATAAGTTGTAACCTCTTCATACACTGAAGGTCATTAACCACATAATAACTGCTGCTGTGATTGCAGAGTGCCTTTGTGGGGTCAGTATATACAGGTTTTATACTGCAAGGGTAGAAGTATTTTTATCCTGAGACACACCTTCAGCTTCTTCTCCTCAATAAACCATGACCTCTGGGATGACTGTTTTGAAAAGTTTTATTTGAAACTCTGCTTTGGAGTCATGTACCACCTTACTGTTTATGCTTTCAGTCTTCCTGTGACAGATTAATCTTCTGTCTCAATCTGCTGGAAAACATGTCCTTAGTTACTTAAAATGCAGACTGACTATAAAAACAAGTCATGCATTAAGTGAAGAATGCCCAATCTAAAAGTTACTCATTTTTGAGTGAGAAGGGGAAAAAAGAGATCACTGTTATCTCGGCATGCCCATCTTATTTGATCACTGCTTTTCTTGGATAGCACTTTTGTATGATCTAGCCCATAAAAGAATTCTTGTTGTAAACATTATTTTATTTTAACTCAGCTCTTTGTGGAAATAAACAGAGTGGTTCTGTGCTTAGAATCTGCAGCTGGAGACCTCGACCAAAAAATACATAAAAAGGTGTTGCAACTCTTAAACCTGGTTGTGACCTTTTGCCTAAATCTGTTTGTAGTCTTTCAAAACCAACCAAACAGCAGAACAACCCACAAATACCACTACAAAGGAAATTCCAGGAAGGCCAGCCCAAATTCTGTCATCCCAGTCAATGACAAACAGGTTCCTGCCGGTAACCCCGGCGGAGCTGTGCAGGAGGCAGGGCTTGGGGCAGTTCTGTGCCACACTGCAGTGAGGACTAAACCTCTGCACTTACTGCAAAGCAGCTGGAATAGCCACATTCCAAGTGTGCATTTTGCTGTCCCCGTGGCATGAGGCACAGCCATGGACTGAGCGTCAGTGCTGCAAGTCCATCAGCTCAGCCACTGCCACGTGAGCCCAGCAAACTGGCTCGGGGGCAACTTGGGGCTGTTCTGTGTTTGGATCCCACAGCCCTCCAAAGGAGTCTAACCAGAAAACCAGCCAGACTGTGATCTGAGACCTTGCTGAAGGTGTAGGTCATCTGATTAAACTGTACCACCAGACTGCCTCTGGACTGGTTGTTCTGGCTGTTTGTGTGCAGTTTTTGGTGTCTGGTCTGTTTGAACGGGTTTGATCCCAGTCAGCTCCTGTTGCCCAGAGTTCAGGTGCACTTACAAAACTGCTCTTCTCTTTTGAAGAGCAATAATGGAGAATATGCTTAAGGCTGTCTTTACCAGTGTGTGCAGAGCTGTGACAAGCTGGGATAACGGGAACAAGAGGAAAGAAGGAGAAAGGTTCATCATAGACATGAATGTTGCATTGTCTCACTTGTGCTCAATCACAGCTCTTGTTCCAGAGCATTTATATGTTTATCCCAGCACACTTTCTTGCAGCAAAACCATCTCAGTGTCTGCCTGGGAGGTGCTGCAAGTTTGCAAATTCAGTGGTTGTTTCTCTTCCTTAAAGAGTTCTAAGTAATGTAATGTGTAGAGTATGGATGCTTACAAAACTGCCATTAATTTTTGGGGCTGGAACTGAAGAAGATGGCCAGAAAAATACTAAGCTCTGAGATAATTATGCAACACACTCTGGGATGTATACATTCTCAGACTTTACTATTGTATGAGCATATGGTAACTACTGTCTTTTTAGTGTTTTTCATGTAGACATAGATGTCACTTCTCTCCCTGCATGTGTTGATGCTGTTCTGGTTATTGGCTGCCTCAGTCAAAACTGTTGTTTTCCAGGTGACGAAGGAGGAGAATCTGAACTCCTTGGAGAAGCTCTACCACTTGAACCTTCTGTAGCCAAAGCTGAGAGGAGTCACTTGATAGTGTGGCAAGTCATGTGTGGCAGTGAGTGAGCCTGTAGGATGCAGCTGGAGACCTTAAAAAAAAAAAAAAAAAAAAAAAAAAAAAAAAAAAAAAAAAAAAAAAAAAAAAAAAAAGGCCAAAAAAAAAAAAGCTTCTGCATGTTTTTTTTTTATTTTGTGAACCTGTTTCACTACATGATGTTGAAGCATTTCTTTGCTGTTTAACTTTATATTGCAAATTTGTCATACCTTTAACTATACAGGAATTAGCTTGTGCTGTTTTACTGCACCTGTGTTACATGGAACAGTATAAGGAAATCAGATCTTTCTCCAACTGGCGTGCACACCATAGTGAGCAGCTGAGGCATTACTTTCACTGTACCACAGCAATCTAACGTGTTCACTTCTTTGGTAGCCTCACTTGAGTTTGGCTTTGTTACAGCTGAGCTTCATTTCACTGTATAATGCATTGAGTAAAACAGCAAAGTTATTCCCAGAGTATTTAAAAAAAAAAATGGACAAATTGTAAGATGGATTATTAAGACTCATCCAAATATTCAGTGAGGGCTAAAGCAAACTGTGTATTTCAGCTTTTGATTTCAAACCTGGAAAATCTCGCTTACATAGTATAAACGGTTTAATTTCTTACATTCATCAGAGTTTTCAGGGCAAAGAGGGGACTGGATAGGAATTAAGAATACAATATTTAAATAAAATCACATTTTCATTATTGAACCTTAAAGTTTGAGAACTGCTGCCCTCAGTAATGAGCAATTTCGAGCATAATGTTTTTCCATCTCCCTGACATGGAACAACTGTTTCCAAAGGGTATTCTTAGGATGATTTAAATTGGAAAATAACTGCAAAATTCTTAAGCAGGGGATATGTTTTGTTCTTTTCTTGTCTTAACTCCTTATGTCCTAAGCACTAGAATGATCTTCTCTGCCTAGCTGGTCAAACTCATGAGGCACTACGTGTGTGAAGGTTGAAGACCTCGATTAGAGCATGAGAAAAGACTGAGAGTGTACAGGAAAAATGCATTCTGCCCAAGTGAGATCGTAAAGGAACTTTAGTGCCAGATGATTAGGTACAAAATGTATTTTTTGTAGCTCCATACCCCAATTTAGTAAAAAAAGAAATATAAAAAATAAAAATTTAGCAACAATATTATCAGGTAACACTAAGATTGAGAAAATTAATGAAAGTCAGGAGACTCTAATATTAGGCTGACATTCTGTCTACTCACCATCTATTTTTTTAACCATAAATGTGAGTTGAAGACTGTCTTCCTTTTGCATTGAAATTTCTACATTAGTATCAGACCTAAGTTAAAACACTTCATGATTTCTGTACTTCAGGATATTTAAAAACCCAGATTTGCTCTTTCATTTTGTCTCTGGAAAGTAAAAGTTTTGAGGGGTTTTAATGAACATCCAGCATGTACCCCCAAAAGGCTGGGACTGTTCAGATTGGCAGAGAAATTTAGTCACTTGATTATGGGAGAGAACTGAACAGTTTCAGAGGAGTAAATATAGAAACACTTTTTTAAAACTGCCTAAACATTTTTATGCAATAGGAGCAGTTCTGGTCTATCAGGCAAACATGTGTTTATATATTTTCTTAATTTTTTAAATGAACACATTTAGCTGAGGTCTATTGTGTAAATATATATTTAGGCAGCTTTTTCAAATGCATATCATAGCTGATAAACCAGAAAATCTCCATTCAGGTCTATTGGTTAGATTTATATGTATAAATACTTTTTAAGCGACATATTTTGTACACAGCTGTTCCTCTCGTAAATATGTATTTAGGACATGAACTATGTAGTAAAAATCCTTATTAAAGATGTCTAATATCTTGGTAGTATTTTTCTCTTCAGAATGCCAAAAGTGATGAGAGCATGTTGTTCATAATTTGCTTTCCAAATTCATCTTTAACGTCACTCTTAAAGTACTTTGGCTTGAATATAAAGTCTGGAAGCTTATTAAAAACTATACAAATACAGAAAGTAAAATGAGTCAACACTCTTAGACCTATTTTAAACTTATAGGCATGTATGCTGAACATGAAGCACATCTGAATTAACTTCTGGGATTGGATGTCTAAGAAAAATGCTGTCTAAACTTTTACTGTTGTGCAGAATCTTCACTGTGAGTGGTGCAGTTTCATCGCTTTTCCTGCCATTTTCTTGAATTTAATTTTTTATTTTTTTTTTTTCCCCTCTTTGGGAAACACAATCTCCAAAGTTTTTACTCACTGGTTGATTGTCACATTCTCATGTTCTCAGAAAAGAGAAAAAAAAAAAAAAAAGCGCACAATTCCGTTCCTTGGTTCTCGTGTGGGGTTTTATTTGTTGTTAGAGACGAGCTGTTTCCTCTGCAAACTGGAGCAGCTCAACCTGGCAAGCGTGTACCTGGTCCTTTGCCAAATGTAGCTGGTCCACCGTGCCATTTTAGTCACCTCAGTGGGCCAACTCCTGCAAATATTTCAGAGGATGATTGTTGCTGTCCAAAAGTTGGAAGGGTTTTGAAGCAGACGGTAGTTTTAACTGTGTACCACTGTGGGTGTAGATAAAAGGCATGTGCACTTCTCTGTATTTCTCATTTAAAAACTTCTATCCCCTGTCCTAAGGTACAGTAGATTAACTGGGTCCCTGTTGCCATCACAGTGCTCTGGGATGTATAAGCTCTCCTTAAGGTGTCTTTGAAGGGTGAATAAAGCACGTAAAGCCCAGGCACTGAGGTGACAATACACCCCTCCAATCCGTCTCAAGAATGTGTTTATGCATACACTCGTGATTAAAGCATCATATAAATAGGAGCTAATCTCTTGATAGCTACAGCTTGTTAATAGTTTGGAAACATTTCGAGCACAAAATATGCAGCACATGACTTGCCTGGGTAGGGGTTTTTTGCATGGTGAAGGTGAAGCTGCATCGTCCATTCCTTGGGAAGGCCTTCCTGCCTCGGATGGGATCGAGCTGACAGAGCGTAGACACTTTATCATAGGCTGCCTTAGTAACAAAACAAATGTTAAATCTCTTTTATTATACTAACTGTTCTAAAGAACGTGTGTCTTTTAAAAATGCTGTGTAACTGAATATTTATTTCCATGTGAGTATTATAAAAGTTACCAAAGGATTAAACCTGACTTAGCACTCTCTGTAAGTGGCCCTGTTGAGGTGGGGTCTTGTGAAGGCCCCGCCCTGTAAAACGAGACACGGTAAACTCAAATACAGTTCTTTAGGGAAATTAAATGTTTTTGTTTTTTTTTTCTAACAGGGTTATGCCATATTGTAACAGCCTATGTTGCACCTCAAAGCATTTTTCTATACACTAAATGTCTCTCCCGCCCTCTAACAAGATTAAGTTTCCTTTATTAATTTTGTTGATGCACATTTCTCAATCTTTTAAACATATATTTTAAACATTTTATGGTCTGTAATTTTGGAAAGTTTTGTCTGTTGGACACTTTACGCTGAATTTTACTTGCCTCTGTAATCTGAGATGGATACTACAGCGTTAAACTTGCTGTCTGTTAAAACTTGAGGCTTCTTTTCTGTGAGCAGAGGAGCTCATATAGCAGTGTAGTTATTTCAGTATTTATTTCTATTATTGAATCCATGGGGTTCAGAATGTAACTTTGTACATGAAATATATATAAATATGTATATGAAACATGCACCGGATCTGTGTGTTCTTTGCAGCCTCACGTTAATTTTGCAGGGTTTTTGTGCTACCAGAAGGCACAATAGTTGGGGATTTTACACCAACAGCTGGATGTTGCCATCATCACTACAGATAGTGATGTTTTTGAGTCAGCCTCTGGCCAGTCTCATCTGCTGTCTCATACTGGGCCCAAGCAAAATCTCTGAAGAAGAGCTTGGTTCACTGACTGGCTCCCAGATGATGCCATGATGTCTGTGCCTGCCTTGGGATATGGATCTGGGGAGATCTGCTTAGTGCAGCTTGGATGAAATGGGTGCTGGCACTGATTTATTTCTGAAGTCTTTTTAGCACAGGTTGATCAGAGCTCAAAACCTCGCTGGTTGCTGCTGCACAGCAAAGGAAACGCTGTGTTTTCAGGGCAGAAGAACGAGGACTTGGTGACTGCAGAAACAGAATACTTGGCCAGAGCCAGGTTTTAACTTTTCCCTGGCTCACCTGCCCCTTTCTAACCACGTTTGCCCCAGCAGTGTGTGTTGCTCAGTGTGTCCCACAAGCCCCTGGGGACGCCCGGGTACCCTTGTTCTAAGGGCTGGGGGTGGCACAGAGAGACCCTGCCGGGCTGTGGTGGGGGCACGATGGCCTCAGCCCCTGCCTGCCCTGCACCAGGGTGTGTGTGCAGTGTCACTGCTGCTTCTCTCAGCAGCAGCAAAGTGCCCACGTGAGGTTGTTCGGTACCTCTAGGATGTAAATACCTCAGACTTGCATGTGCAAACACGGGAATCCTCTGTGGCTCAGAACCACCAACACGGTACTAACTGGTAGCTTTATCATCCTGGTGCTTAAAAAAAGCACAGTAATTTTTGCTTACTTAGTGCTGAGTTTTTCTGCAAGATTTTCGCCTCTCCAGAGCAGATGTACTGATGAATTTCCCTCTCCTGGCAGTGTTTGTTCTGGGGCTGTGGCCGTTCCCAGACAGGTCACACACTGCACTGTGCTAAAGTGTGTGTGTGTGTGTGTGTGTGTGTGTATTAAATGGGAAGAATCATCATAAATCTTCGCTCTGGAAATGTTTCAGCTCTTCTGGCAGCCCTGGAGCCCCTCAGGTCCGTGCATAAGTAATTGAATTTTTCAGATCCTGTGTTGAGAGAGAAATGAGAATAGAGTTGTGAACTAGGCTAAGGTGTTATAAATGATTTTTGGAAACCAGAGCCATCAGAAATACCAAACCCTTCTGCAATGGATGTGGGGATAATGGGAAAAGCACTTAATCTTTCTGAGTCAGATTTTAAAATCTCTCAGTTGTTTCAGTCTCCTACACAAAGAGGTGTTCAGATCAGAATACTTACACTGCTGATACAGGAAGGGAGACTGTTTCAATGTGAATGCTTTAGTTGAAAAATACTTTTGGGTTGGGAATTAAACTCCAAACTTACTGAGGCGTACAGACTGTTACCCCCAAAATCCGGGATTCTTTTTGCCAACACCTTTTTCAGCATCCTGAGAGCTGTCTGAGCAATACAGTCTGGAACTGATATTGAACATCCTGATGATGTCGGTGCACAAGGGCCCCTTAATTCCATGCAGAACAGGCTGTGAGGGGCCTCTGGCCTCGGACCACACTCCAGCTCCTGGCAGGGCCTGCAGGACTCGCTGTGATTCTGCATCATGCATAACTCTTTGAAAAGCTGTTTTGAGGAGACAAACCAGAGACTTCCAATTGCTTCCTGCTTTTTAAAACCCTCTGTAAAGTGACAGTGGGAAAGGAGCTGATGGGAAGATGTGGATTGGTGCTTGTTATCCTCTGCGGGAGCTTCTGGCCAGGATGGAGCTCCAGGGGTGGGCGCAGCCCCAGTTTTAACACAAGATGGTGCTCTTACAATTCAAACACCACGTGGAGAGTGAGAGAAAACTCATTCTGCTGGAGTATTCTTTTCTTCCGGCCTTTATCTGAGCATCCAGGTCTCAGGTTCTCTCCAACAGCTCTCCAAGGTGCAGCTGTTGTGTCAGTGGTCCAAGCAAGGAAAGAACACGAGTGTTTGGTCAGCACAGAGTTCAAGAGGTGCTCCCCCCTGCCTTTGCCTCTTTGGAAGGTTGAGTTGAGTTGTTGGGATTTGTCTGGCTCTGGCTGCTCCAGAGCTGGGATCTCCAGCCTCATTCACTTAATGCTTAGGAAAGGAAAAGGTTTTCCTTCATCAGACAAAGATCCTGCTGGGCACTGGGAAGGAGCCAGGGTGGGTGGGGGCAGATAAGGCTCCTCAGCATTACAAGGGCTGAGCAGCTGCTTCCCAACGTCCCCCTGCCTGCTGCTTCTCCAGCCTTCAGGGAAGTTCTGTTCCAGGTTGCAGGTGGGATGTTAAGGACCCTCTCCATTCACTCCCTGCCTGCAGAACAGCAGTTCCCAATCCATGAGTCAGCAGCAGGTCTGGCTGCAGGGCTGAGGGGGCTGATGCTCCTCATTTCTTCCCCAGACCTTCCCCGACCCTCCTTCAATGCCACGGGATTTGGGCCATTTGAGGAGAGGGGTGGTGTTTCTGCAGTGAAAGGGAGTGCTGCTGCCATCTCCTGCTCCTGAATGCCACTGTGCCCAGGGGTGGTTTAGGCTGTCTCAGGTCTAGAGTTTAAATGAGAAAAAAAAAAAAGGGAAAAAAACACCCCCAAACAAACGAACAAACAAACAGATGTTGGAAACCTTCCCAGACTTCACATTTGCTTCTCACTTCCACCTTTTCAGTGCATGGAACTGAGATGGGAGCTCAGAGTCCTGGTGACCCTGGGGCCCTGCCCTGGCTCAGCACTGGCAGGGATGGAGCTGCCACCAGCCACGTCCTGGACCAGCAGGGTGATGGTGGCAGCTCTTCATTCTGGTGACATCATTAGGCTTTCCCAAAGCCTTGGCCTGCAGACATGGGAGTCTCCGTTTAAGACTAAATTAGGATGATGCTTGCTTTGAGTTTAAGGACCAAAAGAAAGCTGATGGATGCTGCCCTGGGTCAGAGCACATGTCCTGGTGTCTGGTCTGACAGAGGCTGAAAGCAACACCTGGAGGAGGGAGCAGGAGCATGGGGAGGTGATCCTTGATCCTGCTGCATCTTCAGGCTGGAAGACTCAGTTTCTGCTTTGTGGAAACAACTGGACTGATGGAAAATGATGCAGCTGTCTGCATCCCAGCAGGAATAAAAAGCAGGAAATCCGAGAGCTCAAACAACTTTACACTTGTTCTACCACTGCACAGGTGCTCCTGGCAGATGCTGTTGCAGGGATGTGGGTGCCACGCAACGGCGCTGTCCCTGCTCACTTGGGGCATTTGGATTCTGCTCCTGGGATGGCAGAGAGATGTCTGCAGGGAAGAAAAGCAGATGGATCAGGTGCGAAAACTTTCAGTCTTTCAGGCCAGACCTGGCAGCGGTGTGGGGTGGGTAACTGCACAGGGAAATGGTGTTAAAGGCTGATGGAGGAGGCTGAATCCAGGAGAGAAAAGGTGCTGAGGACTTTTTCGGCTTCTAATTGATGTGTTCAATGAGAGAACAGCAGGATGTGTGTGTGGGTGGGGAAAATTGAATTCTTGTCAAAATTGCCCAAAAGGTAATGAAAGTCCCTGAGATAAGAGAGAGGTGACTTGTGCAGCATCCACAAAGCCATTAGAGTCCGGTTGACTCACTTGCAAATAAACACTGTGTGGGTGCTCAGTAGCAAAAAAAGCTCTTCTGCCCTTTGCAGATGTTCCTGTGTCTCATTCCCCCTGGGGAGAGATGAAGGAAGGATGGATGGATGGATGGATGGATGGATGGATGGATGGATGGATGGATGGATGCTGCAACCTGGGTTCCCGTGCCCAGCCAGAGCTCAGAGGTTTGGGGAGCACAGGACCAGATCCCCACAGTGGCAAACCCAGCTCCAGACATGAGGTACCTGTCCTTGCCTTGCTCAGGGCTTTGCAGATTTCCATGTGTGGGAAGAGAAAACGAGAAAGGACATTTCTAGAGGGAAGGATGGCACCAGGAAAATCCTTGTTGCTGCCCAACTGGCACTAACATCACTACAGGAGTAAAGGCTTCATGCAGTGGGGGTAAGGAAACAGTTTTGCTGCTTTTTTTCATAATGACCTGCCATCATCAGCTGGACACAGCAAGTCAGATGACCGGTTTTTGGAAGCAGTTTTAAGAGTTCTCTGAACTTTTCAGGGGGCTCAGAATGTCATTTCACCATAGCAACCTGCAACTGCAATAAAGCCCAAAATGTCAACTCTGGGCCAAAGCTGTGGTTGAAGTGCAGTGAGTGAAGAGGTGGGAGGGCAGCTCCAGGCACACGGCTGGGGCACAGGGTGAGGTGGATCCTATTCTGTGATCCCTGTGGGGCTGCTCTTCCTGGGATGTTACAGCTCTTCAGACCCTTCCAGTCCAGGCTCCTCTGCCATCCTGGTTTGCAGAAAGCTCAGGATAGTCAAAAGCTATTTGGCACTGGGAGAAAGCGTTCTTCCTGTGTCAGGGCAAACACCAAGGGCCAAGATTGGGGTGGGGTTTTCCCACTGGGCACAGCCATGGTCTTCCTGAGAAATTAAAGGTTGGCACTTCCTGGCTCTCCTGCATCCCAGGGCAGGTGCCCACCCGCCCTCTGAGCTCCCGTCACTGACCATATGACTGCCCAACTGTGCTTTAGCAGAGCCCAAATCAAGAAATGCTACAAAAAGAGCTTAGTGGGAGGCTGGAATAGGAGCCCTCTCTAAGGCCAGTGGTAAATTACATAAGTCGGTAGGTCATAGCTCCAGCTAAACCTTTTATAGGCCATAAATCCACATTTCCTGGATTTTTATAGCTTCTGGTTAAACATATAAAAATACTTTGTGATTGGAATAAGCCAGTTGATCATCTCTTGACACAAATACTGTGCTGGGAAAAGGTCCTCATCCCACAAGTAGGGGGATGCACATCAGGGGAGGTTTCTAGAGGAAAGGTGGGCACAAGCAAAAACCAAGGCATTTCAATGTATGTTTAATACTGTGATCAAGGGACTTGG